TTAAGAATATTTCTACAATATGAACAAGAGGTCTAGTTGTTAACAATTGCACCCGAAAAAGATCTGGTCTCAGTGGGACTCGAACCCGGGGCATAGCCATTGCAGAATGCACGTTTTGTGTCTTGAGCTACAGGTTTCTTTAGAACTTCGAACAAAAATGGAATTTCGCGGTGGTGTCATCACCAGGGAGAACGATCGTCCCTATAGCGTGTCAAAGACATGACTACATCAACTGATGCAAATACCTAGCCCCAAAAGTACATCTTTTGGTGGGCCCATGATGGTTCAAATGTTCCGTACTCCGGTGATGTCCATGTAACATGATCCAAAATAATGCTACCGTTTCGTGGTTTCAAAATCATATGTTTTGTTGTGATCGTTCAAATGATCAGTTCGGCAATCGACAATGAATTGATTCAATAACATAAATAATATTTAAATAAATGAGCAATTATACATATCTTAGTCAATGCCTTGATGGATGATCACTAACCACGTTCTGACTTGAAACTTCGTCACTGAACAAGAGGTCTAATCTCTACCGAGGAGTATATAATATTCCATAGTATTAATCAAAGTAGTCCTTTGAATTAAATTTTCACAACCGCCCGACACTCGTTCTCAAAATTTTGTTAATCCATTGCGTCATACAAATTTGAAGTATGTTCAACATATTCACAAGTAAATACTTCCTCTGTTCCATATATGTATTACTCGTCGATTTGACTTCTCGTCAACCCCAAAAAATCATATCTTCACCAAATTGGATGCAAGATATCATTAAATAGAGAGCATAAAAATCCACAGGAACCGTCCATTGGCTGTGAAGAGCTAAACTTGAATTTTGTCGCTCAAAATCAACTTCCAATTTCCACCACCCGAATAAAAACACGCCACATATATTGATCAACACACATTTGAATTTGCCGCCATGACCCAAGCCTCACGCGAGCTTTCCATCACCACAAGAAGCGAGGTGATTCGACACCTTCACCAGTACGTTAAGGGTGGCAGATTGACCCACGGCGCCAACGCTAAAACCGCTGAAGAACTTGGCATCACTGCACGCGTGGTTTCCACAATCTGGCGCAAGTTCCGTGCCGATTGAACGTCAAAATCGAACAAGTCAGGAAACGACTGCTATACACGGCCCAAACCATCCGACAGCGCGTGGGTGCAGTCCCCATGGACCAACGCTCGACAATTCGTGAAATGTCTGTCTCCACTGGTATCGCGATTGGAACGCTGAGCCGGCACCTCAGGAAGGGGACCTTTCGCCGTCGCTCGACACGCATCAAGCCCCTGCTGTCTGATGCCAACAAGCTGGAACGCGTCCAGTTTTGCCGCTCGCATGCGCTCGCGAATTTCGCCGGCGAAGCCGGTTCTTGCGTTGACTTCGACCCCCTATGGGACGTCTTCCACTTGGACGAGAAGTGGTTCAATGCAGACAAGGACCGGCGAACGGTGTACCTGCTGCCTGACGAGATCCCTCAGAGGCGGTCGTGGATGAGCAAGAGGTTCATCCCAAAAGTGATGTTCCTGGCCGCCGTCGCACGTCCACGCTATGACGAAGGACGAGGCTCTCTGTTCGATGGCAAGGTTGGGATGTGGCCCTTCATCTCCTTGGCTCCTGCCGTCCGTACGTCACGCAATCGTCCAGCAGGCACGTTGGTCACAACCTTGGTCAACGCCAATGCCCTGGTGTATCGAGACGAGACTATGTCATCAACAAAGTCGTACCAGCAATCAAGGCATCATTCCCAAGCACGAACAAGCGCGACATCCTTCAGCAAGACAATGCGACTCCACATCGTTCGATCACGGATGCAGTGTTGGAGTCTTCCGCCCACGGACGGATGGACGTTTGAGATGCGCCGCCAGCCCCCAAACAGCCCAGACTTAAACGTGCTGGACCTCGGTTTCTTCGCGTCTATTCAATCACTCCAGTTGAATAAGGCCAGTCCCACTGTGGATGAGGTGATTCGATACACGCTAGCTGCATTTGACGAGTTGAGCTATGAGAAGCTCGAGTGTGTTTTTCTCACCTTTCAGGCGGTGATGCGGCTGGTACTCGAGCATGCTGGCGAAAACAACTATGCCTTGCCTCATCTGAAGAAGGCGGCTCTGCGCCGGCTCTGCGCCGCGCCGGTCTTCTCATGTCGAACGTGTCCTGCCCTGTCTCGCTTCTATTGTAGGCCAGGGATTAATATCCAATGAAACTGCTGAATTTTCTTCTAAGCCAATCAAATGAGTTTTGGTCTCAGTAATATGGTACAAGCGTGTTTTTCATATCGACGAGTAATATGGAACAGAGGAAGTATCAGTTATTACAAGAAAGTTATCAGGTATTACAGGAGTCGCAATAGATTAATCCATCGCAATACATATACACAATACGGTATATGAGTACTGTAGTACTATTATCAAAGTACTAATACTTCGAGGTATTAATACTATTAATATTGTTAATACTATTAATACTTCGTAACACTTCATTACTCCGGAGTAGTTCAAAGCATCAATTGCGTCTACTACACTGTGAATTAATATTACTCCGAGTACAGTAATAGTCAATTTATTTCATGGAATGTGTATTTCAATCTAGTAATACTACTAGTACTAGGCCGTTGTACTATTGGACAATTTATGTTCTGGTCATGTTATCCATGCACATATTATTGTGCGCACTATGTCAGTTTCCACAACCCTGAAACGGACTTGTTACGATGCACCGGCTAGGGATCCGCAACGCGGAGGTGTCCGTGATCAGCGACGACATGATCCAGCAATGCGTGCTGAAGGATGCCGTGGATCCTGCGAATGAGAGTGCGACGAACGACATGGCGTCGGGCACGGACACGGTGGACTTTGCCGCTCTACGCGTGCTGTCGCTGTCGTTCAAGAACGTGTTCAAGATCGACAACCTGGTGACGTTGAAGAACCTCGTCAAGCTGCAGATGGACAACAACGTGATCCAGGAGATTGAAGGCATCAGCCACCTCACTAGTCTCACGTGGCTGGACCTGTCGTTCAACAACATTGCCGAGATCAAGGGCCTCGACACCCTCACGAGGCTGCAAGACTTGACTTTATACAACAACAACATCTCGAAACTCGAGAACCTCGACACCCTCAAGGGTCTCCAGGTGCTGTCCGTCGGCAACAACTCCCTCGCGACCACGGACGGACTGCTGTATCTCAAGTGCTTGGACGCATTACGAGTGCTCAACCTCGAAGGCAACCCCGTGTGCTCAGACCCAGAGTACCGCTCGTACGTACTGCAACTAATTTGTTATACGGTACTCATCTACCCGTAGATTTGTGCTGGCACATTTGGACAAGCTCAAGTACTTGGATTATTCGCTCGTGGACGTGGGCGAAGTCGTGCAAGCTAGGGAGCAATACCAGGTCTATATGTCAATCTATAATTGTCTAGAATATGTATACATGCTATAGACACGGAATATATATATATATATTTGCTAGAATTTAAAGACCAACATGGTGTGGCGGTAGGATGAGCTGGAGGAAATGAAGGAAGTCAAGGCGATTGAAGATGCCGCGCTCGCGAGGGAAGAAGAGTACAAAAAGTACAACGTCATCTTAAAGCAAGCCAACATCAACCTCTTGGAGGTACCCGTCGCACCTTTTCTCCAAATATATATATATATATATATATATATCACTATCATCGACCTATTAGACGCTTCTCAGCGACATGTTCAAAGAAGATTCGGAAATCAGCAAGATCGAAGTCCTTCCAGGTAAAACAATATATACTTTTGATATATATGTATATATATATGTATAGCCACCAAATGAAATATATAGATACATACCACCACCAAAAACCCAACTATATACCACCAATATTATATATGCAATTAATACAAACAGTATATATAAAGTACATATGGAGATAATTATGATAATTTTTTCTGTTTTTCCTGACGTTGTGCCATACATACATTCATAGGGTTGCGCAACTTGATTGACGACTTTACGGAAAAAGTCAAAACGGCCACGGAAGACATCAAGGTGATCTTATTGGAGAAGCACGCGGCGATCCAGCGCGAGTGCGACGGGTTCGCGCTGGAGTACGCCAAGGAGAAGGACTTGACGCAGAAGAAGAGCATCGCCCAGTGCGAGAAGTACCGTCGGGTGGCGAAGCGGCTGTTCAAGGCGTCGGCAGCAGGTCCTCCCGCGACGGAGGCCGAGGTGGCGCGGGTGACGGCCGAGTCGCAAGCTGCGTGCAATGAGCTCAACACGGAGCTCATGGGAATCGAGTCGAGTTTGGTCGAGTTTGCGCACGATGCGATTTCGACGTTAGATGTGCGCATTGAAGCTGTGGGGAACGAGTCTAGGGGCATTGCGACCGAGCACTTTCGCAACGTCGAGCAGCTGGAAAACAATTTCTTTGACGGTGTGACCCAGGTACTACAGTAGGTCGACGTGATGGATGATGGAGGAGCGAACGGAGGATGTGTGTTGACGGAGATGTAGTTGGCCGCGAATTTGCTGGAGCGACTCGCGACCGAAGATGGCGAAGACGACGACTTCCTCAGCGACGAATGCCGCGCGATTCTAAACGACAGGTACGGCTCGTGTCGTTGGTTCGTTCAAAGGACATGCCTATATATGTTGGTATGGTAGGGATGCATTGAACAACGCGATCAATGGATCGCACGACATCCATATTGGCAAACTTCTCGCCCAAGAAGACTTGATGCGCGAGCAAAACGTGGCCAAGATCCACGACGTATTTTGACATGCCTCTTGGGAACTCGTACGGACATGCGCATCCAACGCTCTATTGTAGATCATCAAGACGACCAAGGACGGCGAGTGGGCACGCAACCGCAAGCGCGTCGCTGAAATCATCAACATGAAGGTACAGCCACGACTCTCGTCCATATCGCTTGGCACGACGTCCTTGTCATCGTCGCTGTAGGAGAAGCACTTGGCAGAGATCCTGGCCCTGCGCGACGAGCTCAATCGTAACGACGACGACTTCTACTAGTCGTGGTCTAACGTTAATATAACGTTATACAGCACCTTTGGACATGACTTCGTCGGGCGGCAGGCGGTGATTTCATCTGACCTTGGCGCGCAAAATTGTAAAATGACAACTTATCCGGAAAATGCCGGATACCCTTTCTTCTGGAACCATCGTACTTTATTTTCGCACTGCGTTGATGGAATTCGTCCTGAGCACCGACGTCCTGCTCGCAGCCATGGCTGTCGCGGCCGTCTATGTCGTCCATTCGTATCTAACGACACCTGCGGTACCCACACAGTCTCCTGCATCGAATCTTCCTCAAACGAAGAAGGCCGTGGACAAACCATCGGCGCCACAGCAGCAGTACTTCACCTTGGACAAGCTGCGGGCGTTCAATGGTGAAGGTGACAAGCCCATCTACATTGCGATCAAGGGTGTGGTCTATGACGTGAGTCGCAAGCGCGACTTCTATGGTCCCGGGGAAGGCTACCACTTGTTTGCAGGCCGGGAAGCGGCTCGTGCGTTGGCAAAGATGTCGTTTGAACCGGCCGACTTGGAGAACACCGACATCAGCGACTTGAATTTCATGGAGAAGGAGATTCTGAAGGACTGGATCGACAAGTTTACGGACTACAACTCGTATCCGATTGTGGGGCGCGTCCTGCAGCAAACGGACTTGACGCGCACCGAGTTGAGCGCGTTCACGACATTGCCAGTGTACGTGGCGCTGCGTGGTGTCATCTACGACGTGACGTTGGGCGGGCTGGAGCACTACGGACCCAACGGAGGGTACAAATTGTTCGCAGGTCGCGACGCCACCCGCGCGTTGGCGCTCATGTCGTTCGACCAAGAACACTTGGACAACCCCACGGAGGATGGACTGACCGAGACGCAGATCAAGACCCTTGCGGACTGGGAAGCCAAGTTCCAGTCCAAGTATGGAGTCGTGGGCAAGGTCATCGTAGAATGAGTGCGATACATTGATTTTCGAAATTCCACGAATAAATCGGAAACAATGAAATTGTGAAAGAAAGGGCGAAAATGCAATATTAATAGTAAGAAATATATTTATCCGGATCGTTTTCCGGATTGTATCCACCGAAAACAACATTTTGAAAGAAACGGATCATCCATCATGGGCAATCAAGCAGGGTCCCCGCGCAAAAAGAAGGCCGAACATGGAGGGAACTTTGAAGGAGGAGGAAGCGAAGACGCATGTTCGTCCAAGCTCGTTCGTGGTATGTTTGACTTGCATCTCATCGGCCACCATGGGTTACCCAGTCAGCCGAGCCGGATTTGCTATGTCCCGATGCTGGGTCTCCTGGTCGTCGCAACAGGGTACCAGCAACTCAAAGTGTACGGCGAAGACGGCTTGGAAGTGTACCTTCCATTACGCGAGGACAAGGGCGACGGCACGTCGTCGTTCAGCGCCGGCGCCACGCCGACGTTTCTCGACTACACCAACAGCGGCAAGCTCGTGCTCGTCATGTCCGACAGCGCTGTGCAAGTCATCGACCTCGCGAATCTCCAGGAAGGCAAAGACGTGGTGGTCGCAGCGTTGCCTTCGAGGTACTAGCACACTCTCCCTCTCACTCCGTCCTCAACCATGTTGCAGTTGGACCACCAGCCGCATCACCGCGCTGGAGACCATTCGGCACCACAAAGACACGCCATTCTTCTACGTGGCGTTGGACGATGGATCTGTCCAGGTACGACATACGACGGAGAATGTCAATCAAACTACCAACAAACAATATAAATATAAACTTCGACGGATATATATATATACTACGTGATCAGAAGATGATTTTGAAATGTATATATTGTTGTAATAATATATATATTTTACAATATATTTATTTCAACACCAACCGATATGTTCCAATATATATAAATACGTTCTCGTTTGATACTGTCGACCCACTTTGTGCATACTACTAGTACTACTACTAGTACGATGTGTCAATCTCGAGACTACAGTTCAATATCTGCGTTCCGTATCAACTCAACAATATTACTACTATGGAGCTTTTCACCCAAATTTGGACTTTTCAGTCATTTCCCCAAATATCGTTTCATTTGTACATACATACTATACAACATTTAGTACATTTGTTGTATTGGGCAAAATCAGTAGTTTGGATTGGCAGAAATTCGACAGGTCGTGATTTGATTGGCTTAGACGGTTCGTTCATCGATTCTCAAAACACATTCGATTGATTCTGCTGAGGGCTCCAGTTTCGAATCGATTTGACAATACTACTAGTAGTACTACTAGTAGTAGTATTGTCAAATACTAGTAGTACTACTAGTAGTAGTATACAACCAAACACGTTCGTCACTGGCTATGTCTAAATAAATACATGTCTAAATATATATATATATGTGTGTAATTGAGAAATTTTCATCATGTAAACACACTGTTTCGATATGAATTAGGTTGTGCAAGAATCCACCTGTCACTTTGCCTCGTACGCCATCTACCCCGACGACGTCGGCCTCGCTCCATCTGCCGACTCGTGCTTCGTGTCGGCCATGGCCAGCAGTCCCGCGGACCCGAACCACCTCCTCTTGGCATACGAAGGGTCGGACGTTGTCTATGTGTGGGACCTCGTCAAGCAAAGGGTGGCATTCCAGACGTCTCATATTCTGAATCAAACACAACCTGCTTCCACTGTGCAGAGTCTGGCGTGGCATGCCAGCGGCAAGCGGTTCGCGGTCGGGTTTGCCTCTGGATCCGTCGCGGTCTGTCGATCTGACAAGCACCAGCTCGCCGTATACCCCACCCTCGTGTCTAGTACTACTAGTAGTCCTACTAGTAGTACTGGAGGCATCCAGCGCTTGCATTGGCTCACCACGCACGCGTCATCCCCTGGAGCGTTGGTGTGCAGTGTTGGCTCCCATGTCGTCGTCTGGTTTCCTCCGAGAGATGCGCAGAAAGGACCGAAAGAAGCGCTCACGGAGCTATCATCGTCGTCTTGCTTTCCATGGCAAACATGTGTACTGCCCAGCCACAACCACGCCAATGTGATGGATATGGCGGTAGCATCCACAGTCGTACCCGCGTCCGGATCGTCGGCGGCGCCATTTACGGCGATTGTGTTGGCCGGCAATCCATTGGACGGGATCAAGCCGTCTGTGGCGATGCATGTGCTGCCGTGTCTGGTGGCTCATGCGCACACCCCCAACGAACTGTGGCAATGGATCGTTCCCCCATCACCTACTACTAGTACTACTAGTACTGCTTCGTCATTTCCAGTCTCGACGACGACGCATCAGTTGCAAGCAAGTGATGTTGTGGCCATGCAAGTGCTCGATCTGCACACGGCCGATGCAGGCGCCTTTCGCGACGAGTTGTTTGCTGCCCAGCCGATTCTACTCGAAGAAAGCAACGACATGGACGACCATACTAGAGTTGAAAACCCCCCGTTACATGACGAACGTTCGACCACGGCCATGGCCGCGGCGTGGGTGCCGCCGTTGACGGGGGGCTCCGTCACAGTGTCGCATCCTCCCCCCCTTCCATCGACGATGCTGCCCGCCGCCGATTGCAAGCGCCTCTTGTCTATTACATCGATGGACGACAATGACGACAATGATATCATCAATGGTATTATTGTGCTTAGACCCAATATATTTGGACACTTGTGCGGATTCAACATATTGTGGTTTGACCTAACAAAATGTGGACTTTTGTGCTGAATCGCCAAATCCATAATCGATGATTCTTTGACTTTTGTATGTAAACAAACAAAGGTTATTTGTATCACAGTCATTTGACGAAGATGATTTCCTGCGATCTGATTGGCTAAATCCTTCTGCCGATTAGTGTACATTTAGTTGGTTATTTATTCTCCATGTACTCGTCGCTCCAGTTTAAAATAAACACAACAATATTGTGAATTCGCTATAAACTTGCAAACTTTGCGTCTAATATCAATATGGAATCACGCTAGAATTTTGATTGGTTGATATATACTCGTCTTTTCTGTAAGAGCCAATCAAATATATCCACTCAAAAATGGATTAGCCAATCGCGTCGATTCGATTCCCAGCGGTGAGATTCAATTCGATGGAGTCTTTGGACTACCGAATCCTCAATATCGATCGATGTTTGTTGTCCTGACGTTTGCATGTACAGATCGTCACACTATTTTCAGTCGGTCGACGAGTGGATAATGATTTGATTGGCCAGTAGAATCGTGTTGTGGGTTTTGATTGGTGGATTTTCGATTGTCTGCCGATTTACTGCTGCTCATTCGATGGAGAGATCGATCCTAAACATACTGGGAGATTTCAAATCGACTTTGACATTATCATGGTTACTTTTTTTACAGGGGAAGACTCCTCCATATACCTCCACCGCCACACAAAGCGAACGACGTGGGTCGTGACAGCGCATGCCGACAGCCGCGTCAAAATCTGGGAGTCGCATCCGCCCGTGGACGGCGCCAGTCGCGGGCAGATGGGTCTGCTGCATGTGCTCCGCGTCAAGCCGGTACTTCAAGACCCGATTTCGTACGTCTGGTTTGGTCCGTCGAGGCGGCTGCTCGTCGTCGGCACGTCCACGGGCGAAGTCGGGTTCTTTACGTTTGACTCGGACTCGGGGTTTTCGTTTGTGTTTTCGCTGCACGTACATTCGGGTGCAATCACGCTCTTGGCTGTGCCCAAGTCCGATTATCCGGACGACGGCCAGTTGGACGTGGCCGTAGCGGATGCGTTCGGGGTCGTATGTATCGTACACGTAGCATCCCAAACGTACAAGTTGGTGATTTTTGACTTGGCGCTGGATACGGACGACGACGAGGAGACTGGAGGACCGGTGGAATCGCTCGTAATGGACAGGTCGCTCTTGTTTGTCGGGCGCGGGGACGGCCACGTGCAGGTGTACGATGTAGCGACGGCGGCGCTGGTGCTGACGTGTCGCGGGGCGACTACTGGCGACGGAAATGGTGATCATGTGACCAAGATGCTCCTAATGGACCAAGGAGGGCGTGAGCGGGGGCCGGTCGAAGTGCTCTCGGCAGTTCAAATGGCAAGCCAACCAAAGTGTCGAGCTGGAGATGAAAGAGGAGACGGAGGTACTGTTGTGATATATCGTACGGTTGCAAATATGTATGCAATGTGAACCATGTGTGTGCATAGTCGAAATGTAACAGAACTGGCATTGGACAGATGGTACTGGGTGTTATACTTTACTTGTATTTGCTGGGATTTATATATATATATATATATATATATATATATAATCAGCACATCAACGACAAAAATAATAATTATACGGTCGATCGATATCGATCGAGTAATCGTGGAGCCAAAGTATATGAGTATGTGGGGTTTTGTGAATATATATATTAGGTTGCCAAATTCTCGTATCGATCGATATATATATATATTTGTATAAAAAAAAGAGAATCTCCAGTACGGATGTAGGGTATTTATTAGTATTGATTTCAAACGACTTTCAGCCCCATTCTATAACAACTATGAAATATCCAAGTATAAAGAAAAGTTAGACTAAACTGATGAGTAGGGAAGGACGACGAGGCTGCTGCTGCTGCCGACGTGGTGGTGGTCGATACCGTGACCCAGGCGTTGGTGGACGATTTGTTGGGAAAATTCCCCTCGCCGCCCCCCACGACCAACAGCCACAAACACGTGACGGTGTGTGTCGAAGCAGGTCCACTGGGCATTTTCCTCGTCGACGACGTGACCGATCGTGCGGTCTTGCGGGTAATATTTTTGCCCTCTTCTTGTTTTGGTCATTCTATGGTCCATTTGTCAATATATGTCAATATATATATATATATATCGACTTTGGACAATACATATATATAAGGGGAGGGGAGTACTCCCTGCCAACCCATCACATTTCTCCAGTGATCATAACTCTCTAATATTTCTCGCCTTAACCATTTAACTCTAGTGTATATGTGCTTTTGATCTTTTGATTGGACTTGGCAACGCAATCAAAGTGTTGTATCTTGGCAGAATCAATATATATTGAAATGTGGATTGAAACTAGGGATTTGTCCCTGATGATCCCAACGCTCAATTGCAGCAAGCCGCGGGTATCGTCCCCGGCAGTACCCTCGTGAGAGTGAATGGGGTGGACGTGCGCCGCCTAAACAAGGCGGACGTGGTGGCCGTCGTGTCTTCGCTGTCGGGGGTCGCCAAAACGGTCAGCTACGCTCCCGACCACACGTCCACGGATGCCCATGCTCGTCCGTACATTGTGTGTGCGGTGGGCCGGTCAATCAAAGTGTTTGCAGTTCCAACAGATCGATGGTCACATGAAAGCCAACCCAAACCTGATAATAGTGTGGTGCAAGTGGATGTGGAGGCAGACGTGGGGTTGAGAGCGCCGGTGGTTTCTATGGCCATCAGCGCTATTCCAGTGGAAGGAAGGTAAAGATATGAAAGAGCATGGATGGATGGATGTTGGTCGTGGCGTTGTACCCGAAATATATAAATATTTGGACTCGTTTATGCTGTTTTTTTCACCGAATTGATCGATTTCTTTCTTTGTACTGACATTGGTATGTACAGATCGACTTGACTATATATATATATATATATATATTTCAACTCTAGTGTTGCAAGTTGTTAGTATGTTTTCCAAGTTGCAGTGGGATGACTAGTAGGTTGTTTGGCAGTGGATGATATATATTATATATATATATAGTTTGATGTTTGAAAATGCAATATAAGCTTGTATTGACATCTTTTCCACGAGGGTGATTCGGTGGCATGTGTGTATGGTGGTATGGATATATCAAGATAGTACTTCAGGTTTCTATCCTGTTTCACAAAAACAATGAGTTTGAAAACAGATAAAATTGTATATATATATAATATATATGGTTGGTTGGCTTCGTTTGGTTTTATATATGGCATGACCACGAATGACCCTGGATGAATAATACATATATTGTTCTCGAGAGTACGTACGTACGTACATCCATCCAATGGCTGTAAATAATAGGGTATATATATTTTTAGCATTTTTTTCAATACTTTTGGACAAAAACTTATATCAATCAAATGGATAGGATGGAGCAAGCGTTGGTGGTCGTGGATCAGAGTGGGGTTGTGTACGTGTTGGCTCTGCCGACCTTGCATTTTATATGGAGCGCGCCGTGTCCGTCCGACTTTTCCGCAGGCTACGCCTTTGACCATGCCCATGTGCATGTGAACGCGTCTGGCTCGGTGCTGCTGGGTACTCCTTTTGGGGACTTGGCGGAATATTCCATCTTGGCACCATCGATGTGGGCAGAAGTGAACGTGTTGCAGTGGGTACGTCCCAACGACCTATATATACATATCACAAGACATATCTTCTACTTTAAATATTTACTATAATGTAGAAACTTCTTGGGAAAATGTCATTTGTTTTAGTATATACGTACTAGTACGAGTTTGCGATGCATATATATATATATATATAATATATATATTGTGATGTATATGTGGTGATATATATATATCATCGTAAAGAGTTTGTAGGAGACCTGTTTTTTCGATATGTATATATTTATCATCATGACATCGGATATAAATATATATATATATATTCATTGAGAATAATGTGATCCCTAGACAACGGTCAAGACGGCTTTGGTGAGTGCGCGGCGAGCATCAGTCGAGGACGAGTCGAAGGAAAATATCGACCGAGTCGTGGAAAAGAAAGGCTCGTCGCGGTTCTTCAAGCAATTGTTTGCACCGAAAGAAGTGGATTTGAACACGGTGATATATATATATAATATTTATGTGATATATATATAATATGAATAATATTCGTGTTTCAAGGTATTTGTGGTGCCATCGGTGGAGGAGGACCAACGCAAGCAACTGATGGGCGACCGCCGACAGGTTAAGGACCCCACCAAGACAGAGGACGGTCAAGCCAAGGTCAGCGGCACTATGGACGCCCTGCAGCAAGCATCGCAGGTACGACTTACTAGATGCATGGCTAGTACTACTAGTAGGAGGAGGAGGAGTCCCCCTTTGATGTTGGATTTAAGATTACTACTAGTAGTACTAGTAGTCGTCCCTTGGGATTTCATATATATGATGTTTGGGTAGAATTTGCATTTGCGAGGGGACAAACTGTCGGGATTGGAAGAAAAGACCGAGCGACTCAAGAATCGCGCCGACGAGTTTTATGCGACAATGAAAGCGTTTAACGACAAGGAAGCGAAAAAAAAGTGGTACCAGCTTTAAATCCATAAATATATATATATATATATATATATAAATTCAGAATCAAACTCATAGTTCATACTACAGTAGTAGTACTAGTATGAATTCATAATACACTATTTATAGTACACTAGCACTACAGTATATCAATGGCCACACACACACAATTGGGCATTCTAGTAATACTAGTACTCATTTAATACGTACAATTAATAGTATGAGCCATCCACGTAAGTACTATTATTAATAAATAGTAAGCGGGGGTGATACCGAACCTCTATCCTATCCAGAGACCTTTTCGAAGTTTTATATTGCGATGACGTATACATATATATCCCTGTAGTTTATATTATTACCATAGCCCCCATCGATGTGCTTGAACTCGCTCAACAGTACCTTGGCTGTACTTGGCCGACCCTTCTGAAGGCATGCTGCTGACATATGGACAAACACTGGGATGACAATTTCAAACATTTGATCTGTGTGACACTGTGTTTGATTTGTGCAGTACTACCATATATAGCGTCTTATCATGGTATTAATTGTACCCACAAGTATGCGACAAAGTTGGACGTCCCACACGCATCGTGGTGCTTGTCAAGTGTGCGACAACGTTGGTGAATATTGCACACGGACTCGGTTGGTTGGTACCATTTTATTTCAATTTTATACCAAGTTCGTTTTGGTTAGTTGTTGATATATATGTTTCGTTGTTTTATTCTACTTTTGTTTTAGCTAGAGCTAATTATTACCTAGATACAGTATTAATATGATCAATAGTGAATGCGATTAGGTTGGAAAGTAGTATTTTTACCTTATATATACATCAAGTATTGTGCTTTCGAGTGAAATTTCATTGTGTTGTGGCGTGGTTTCTCGTTGGAATTTAAATCGATTTGATTGGCTACTTTAGAAGAGCTCAACATTATTAGCCAATCAAAACCTTCTCAATGAAATTGAACCAATCAGATCGATTGTGGATCGGTTTGGAGGGCGCGATTCGATTGCACCCCCGCCTCCCCAAATTTGTATCAAATCGACAATATATCAATCATTACCAGACGCACCCTAAGGGTGCGTCTGGTAACATTTCAAAAATAATATTCCATTTTCTCGCAAAACGGGATGAACCAAAATGCCATTTTCAAAATGGAGGTAAAAGGTCCATTTTGTAATATGGGGTTTTGGACCACTTCAACGAGTAAATCCCACGTGGAATTATTGGATTTGGGTTAAAACCCTTCAAGTAAGACATGTTTCAATTTTGATCAGATTTGTTGAATTCGACCTCAAAATGGCGTTTTGGGCCTGAATATTGCAATATTTCCGGTTACCAGACGCACCCACCCTAAGCTTGTCAAATTGGTTCATTTAAACATGATGCAATGTATTAATATTATTATTACTAATTTTATTTTGTCTAGGAATACTACTGTAGTATACATGGGGAAAGAATATCCCCTTGGACGACGTCTCCTCTGTATATTATCCACCACTCGTACAGGGCAAACTCAAACCACGGCTCATATGGATGGGAAACCACGACGTGAGTAAAACAGCGATATGGTGGCGATTTTTTGGGCAAACGATACGCCCAGCACGGCCGCGGACGCATTGAACGATGCCACGTCATCAGACGACGATACCAACGACACAATGTCCAACGTGGGCATGCAGTGGACGACATGTTGAGCACACGATGATGTAGAAGTTTCCACGAACGCAAACACTGTCGCAGGTCCCCATTATTCCAATCCCTGAGAAATGATGTCGTCGCCCAACAATCGCGTCCTTGACCGTTCCAACGCTTCGTATCCTTTGAAAGGTACTACACTGTTGTCGTCCAGGTCTAAACATATGGCCGCGTCGGCTTCGTCGTCGAGTCGATGGAATCCGTCCAGCCCGGTCGTCTTTTCGACCAAGTCTTATGTCGGGAAGTCTGGACCAAACGCCGCGAACGTGTTAAGGTACGTCCGGAACGTCGACACGTTCGCACACTGTACCCAAGCAGCATAGTACTGCTGCCGGCGCTGTCGTCATTGCTGGTCCACACCTGAAACAGGTCGTGGCAGTCAGCGCTAGCATGACTGCGCATGGACGTTCTCGATGAAGGGAACAAAGCAGCTCTCGCTGTCTCAATCGTTGCACCCTTTTCATCCTTGCCGTGAGTCAGGAGAATGCGCAGACCAGCAGAATGCATCCGCGTGGTGTACATACCTCGCTGACGTCAAGTCCATGGACCGACAGCGGCGCGAAATGCGTCCTCCGGTAGATCATCTCCCCTCGAGAAAGGACAATTCTGCGTTGAACTTTTTGACATCACGCAACGGGCTCTTGTGATTGGTGGAATTCTAAAGCAAACAGATCACTTTTCTTTGTTTGCTCCAGTACGCACATGTCGTCCAAAGCTTCTGCCGCTGCTATTGTTGCCGCCGCTGCCTCCTCCTCTGTATGGTGGAAAGTAGGCGCTGTGTCCGGTGCTGCCGCGGTTGCATTCGGTATGCACCCCTAAGCTTCCTTCTGTGTCGTGCGAGCGTCGAATATCGTGATCCATTCTGAATGTAGGTGCGTTCGGTGCGCACGCTCTTCAATCTCGCGTCCACGACCCAAAGCGTATCAAGACGTGGGAAACTGCCGCACATTACCAGTTGGTGCACTCGGTGGCTCTCCTTGCTGCCCCGTTCGCGCGTCGCCCGAATGTCGTGGGTGGACTCCTCACGGCCGGGGTTGTACTCTTTTCGGGAAGTTTGTATACCCTAGTGTTGACTGACCAACCTAAGTTCGGAATGATCACGGTAAGACGTGCTTTATGCCGACCTTCCTCCCCCCATGTGGAACATGCGCCTGATTCTCGGTTCCACGTAGCCCGTGGGCGGCCTTGCGTTTGTCGCGGGATGGCTTGCCTTTTTGCTCTAAACAACTGTGAATGAACGCGTACCTCAAGGGTTTTTTCTACATGATATTGTACTACTACTTATTCCGTTTCGACAGCCCCGACAGGAGGAGCACCGCCGCGCCTGCGACCGCCACCGAGGCCGCGGCGACGACGGTCGTGTTGTGGTACCAAGGCACGGTCCCTTTCTCGTCCTTTCCGTCGACACCTGTATTCTTTGTCGCCTTATCCTTCTTGGGTGAAATCGTGGTACTAGTGGTGGATGGCGGCGTGCTGTTGTCGGGTTGGGAGGAGGGTGACGATTCGTCCTTTACGAGGAATCCCCCCCATCGCAATTTGTCCTTCTCCTTCTCCAGGGCCATGCGCTTGGTCACCGCTTCCAAGAGCTGTCGGCATGCCTTGTCCTTGGGCATCAACTTGACCGCGACCATGAGGTCCTGTCTGGCTTCGACGTCGTTGTCCATGGCCACGAGCGCCGTGGCGCGGCGGAACCTCGCTTTGCTCGGCCATTCATGGAAGATTTGCGCTTCTGTCATGCCGAGGCGGCCCATCCACGCCGCGACCTTGCCATCGCGGTTCTCCACGAGCGCTTGCAAGATGGAGATTGCGTTCGAGCACGCGGTCCACGCGTCGGCATGTTGGTTGCGCTTCAACTTGCACGCGGCGAGGTTCAAATGACATCGGATCATCGTCTGCAGCACCACCGCCTTCTCCTTGTGCGTAGCCGCGTCCTGGTCGACATGCTTGAGAAACGAGAGGCTCGCCAGGTAGCATGTCACGGCGTCGTCCAGCGCGTCGGCTTTGAACGCGGCGTTGCCGTCCGTGGACTTGGCCACCGCCGCGTCGATGCGTTCCTTGTTGGTCATGGAGGCGGCGGATGCAGCATCATCCACCGTCACAACGTCCTGCGGCTGCAAAAACAACGTGCCAAATGTGGACGTTACGCGCACGACGCCGTCGCTGGCTCGGACACTGTCGACGGTGCCGGGGCCGTACGGAGTCGTTACATGGACACCATATCGCAGCCGCGGCTCCACTGGGGCGTCGGCGACGCTGTCCTCGCGGAGATAGGCGATGGTCGACCGCTTCACTTGGCCCGGGGCGGCCGCCAGCAACACCACGTACATGCGCGTGGATTCGCGGAATGTCACAACTGTGCCTTGGCCAAACGGGGTCACGACCTTGGTGCCGTCCGCAAGCGGCGTGCGCGCCACCGCCGCCGGGTGAAACACCTCGGGGGTGAACACGTGTCCGGGAATGTAGAGCCCGGCGCCGGTGGCAGCCGCGCCAAAGGCGGCGGGATGCCGCGCCGACGCGTTGACTAATGGCGCGGTAAGGTCGTACAGACGAGCTTGGGCCTGCAAATGTTCCTTTTGTGCGATCAATGCCGCCACGGAACGTTCGAGTCGCGTGACGACGTCGTATTCAAACGACATGGTCACATGCACCTAATCGGAAGGAGGGTATGGGTCACATGACGATGTAGAAGGGGTCATCATCGTTCTACCTGTCCATAAGATGTTGCATCCGTCGCAGGTTGGCCTGGTGGGCCGGTCAACGGAACCCACAACGTCACCGGTTCCTGGTCCAGCAGACTCGACACGTCCAGCTTGCAGGTACCGATAAACACATCGGCCACGACAGGAGACGGATGGTGCAGCGTGAGAGTCGCCGTCGCCGTCTTGGACTTGACGCCAGTGAACACGGCGGTGGTAGTTGCTTTGTTCCAGAAACAGCGCTTCGTGACGCTGTCCACTGTGGTCGCGTCGGTCTTGGCCAAACGAACATACGCCTTTCCCTTTTCAACAGAAGATGCAGCGATCGCCACAGAGCCCACGACTGTGGTCATCCCCGTGAGGTTCAGGTCCAGTATCCCGTCCAAGTTGAGCTCCTCGGCCCCAAGGATGGTCACGCTCCACACGCCAACCGCCTTGGCGTTGGTGTCCGTGTCGATCCCTTGGTCATTACGAGAGGCAGCCTTCTTCGCGGCGGAAAGTTCCATTTGCGCCTCCAGCAGTTGCATGTGCAGCTCGTCCACGACGGAGAGATGGCTCACTTTCTCCCACGTCACGGAATTCCCGAGCATGATTGTGACAAAAAGACGAAATGGCGTCCTTCCGTTGACTCACCACGGTATCCGGCAAAATGCGCAATTTATCCGGAGTCCTTGCGAGAAGTCAGTCGCATGTGTTTGATTGGTTAAATATTGAACCGTGCTTGGACATGCTGTCAAAAGGACGATTTGACCTTTATCCGGATATAACCGGAATTTTTGCCACGTATTTATCAGGTGTAGCAGGTACTTTTGGTTTCATCGGTGGTGTTGCAAGGACACTTGATCATTCCTTCATATATATGTACGCAGACGGTATGCACACCATAAGATAACTCAGGAGGTCTCATTGTGTTGGACACTTGCGCCACTTCCAACTTGATTCTCCAGCATCGTCAACCATGTGGTGGTGGTTGTTGATGCACTCAGTTCGTTCAGAAACAAATGTCGGTACGCCAGAGAAAGAATGCATAAATCTACTTCAATAGTCGAGTCAGCACTGTTTGGGCAAGTCAAGGCCGTTGTCTTTTGTTCCTTGGAGAGGATTGCCATGTAAAATATATGGCACTGCATGTCTAGCTTCAACGAATACCACGACAAGCTTGAAATTTGTATACGGGGCTTCAAGGGAGGGGTATCCGGATGACCGAAACGCGCGAAGGTCCATACAAACATCAAGTGTCATCATATCCGCAAGTAGCAAGGCACTGCATAGTATGGTCGTGCGCGTAATGTTCCAGGTTGAAAATACTGAAACATAAAATTAAACAGGTTTTTCAAGCAGGCATCGATCCTAATACTGCACCGAGGAGTATAAATGTCATAAAGGTATGTATTAAGACAGGCTTTTCGTTTTTCCAAGACTTCTCAGATATTATTGTCAAGAAGCTGGTGAAAATTCTTAGTTTGATCGCATTTCCAAATTTCGCGGATCCCGCGCAAGTGAAACGACACTTTTCGCTGCGCGACTCTTTGGACATGTCCGTGTATGAAGCTCGGCCACCAAGCAACAATTCCTGCATGAAGAAACAAGACATGTTTGATCTGTCCATGCTTGGCACGCCTTCCGCGTCCTCCATGTCGCAACCGCAACCTGAGGATGATGACGGGAGCATTGGAATGAACAACTTCGCGATTGGGTCACGCATCCAGCGCTCGATGAGTGCACCACCCATTGCCGAGAATGTACGTATGGTGGTTGATATGTATAGCGTTTGACATGGTGCATGTAGGTTGGCCGATTGCCGCCCCCCATGTACGCTCAAAGCGAATACGACGAGTCGCAGTTGGTACGAACAATATGACACAAAATCAGAGGACATTTGAAACGATGGTTGTACTTGTAGGATCCTAACATGAGTCCCCCCGAGTATTATTACTACTACGCACCCAAGTCCCACAACCCCCGTTTTCCGATCTCGTACAACAACTGGGAAGCAATGCAGAGACAACACCATGCTCGACAACCAACGACATCAACGTTGCACCGCGTTCAAATCTCCGAACGTCGACGCGGTGACAGTGAAGAGTCCACGGATAGCCAGGCAAGTGTGTCGTCGAACAGAGACTTCGAGGCCGCCGTGGCCGCCGCCGGAGGACATTCCGTGCACCAATTTGCCAACAACCAAATGCCAGATCAGCGTCTCCCGTACTGCTTGTCCCCCACTGAGTCGTCCGACAGCAATTCGTCCACTTCCTATCGACCTCTGAACAAGACACTCATCGATCGGATCCAAGAAGACTTTCCTCGAACTCCGTCGCCAGTGTTTGATTACCCTCCGACCTCCAACAAAATGATGGACGATGCACATGCTATGCGGTATCCTGACTTGGTGGGGCGTCACGACTCTATGGAACTCCCTTCCGACATGCTTCAACGTATGAACATGCTGGACGTTGCGAACAGTGGCAATCACGACGGTCGGTTCCGTTCCAAGTCGAGAGGCAACAAACTGTTTTTTCCTCCTGGCACAGGCGTATTTCCTCCACCTGGAATGATCCCAAACCAACACCATCACGGACGCTACCCCATGTACGACCGATATGCTCGGGGCGGGGTGCCTGTTATGCAATGTCCACCGAGCTACATGCACCATCAGTACCAGGATTCGTACGACCATAATTCCGTTCGAGGGCCGTCTCATCCGGACATTCGATTGTTGGCACGATGTGCTGACTATGGCCACGACCATTCATCATCGTCGTCGTACAATGATCGACGCCATTATGATCTAGGACAAGTGGAGTATCCATCGTCGCGAATGAACCCTCCGCGCGGTGCAGCGTCGTGGGAAGTCCACGTGTCGGACCACCACCGCGGTGACCAGTTGGGCAACCAAGCCTCCCATCATTCCCCCCGCAGCCACATCCACGCGGCGCCACCCCCATCGGTTCTGCTGCGTGCCAAGGCCAAACCTGCGACCCCCGTGGCTCCGCAGCCAAAGCGCAGCGCGCTCATGGATGACTTTGAGTGTCGATCCAAAGCAACCGCGAAACCCAGCAAATGGGAACTCGTGGAAGCGCGGGGACACCTGGTCGAGTTTGCCAAAGATCAGGATGGCAGTCGCTTCATCCAACTCAAGCTCGAGTCGGCGACGCCGGACATCAAGGACATTGTGTTTAGCGAGATCGCTCCCGTGGCCCTTCAACTCATGACGGACGTGTTTGGCAACTACGTGATCCAAAAGTTCTTTGACCACGGAAATGCCCACCACATCACGCAGATCCTGCGCGTCATCCAAGGCAACATGTTGGACCTGGCCATGCACATGTACGGGTGTCGCGTGATTCAAAAGGCGCTTGAAGCGACCGACGACCTCCCCCTCAAACTCGACTTGATCTGCGAATTGCAAGGCCACGTGCTCCACTGCATCAAGGACCAAAACGGCAACCACGTGGTGCAAAAGGTCATTGAAATCCTTCCGTGGAAAGCAGTTCCATCGTCGGTGGCCATGATGCCGCGCGCCGCCTTCTTGCTCGAGTCGTTTGTCAACAACGTGTACACCATGTCCACGCATCCGTACGGGTGCCGCGTGATCCAACGTGTGCTGGAGAAATGTTCCGAGATGCAAATGGCGCCCATGCTTTGCGAAATTCAAGACGCGTACGGACTCTTGGTCAACGACCAGTACGGCAACTACGTGATTCAACATGTGCTCAAGCACGGCCCGCCGTCGGAACGCGCGGCGCTGATCAATCGCATCTACCCCGACATCGTACGCCTTAGCCACCACAAATACGCAAGCAACGTGATTGAAAAGTGCCTCTTGTATGCGTCCGTGGGCCAGCTGCGAGTGATCATGCAGCACATCCTTAGCACCGACCACGGCGAGTGCCCGCTCCAGGTCATGATGAAGGACCAGTACGCCAACTATGTCGTGCAAAAGCTCATTGACGTGGCGGACGCGAACGAGCGCGACAAAATGGCGGCTATCATCAAGACCCACGCCGCGCACCTCAAACGGTACACCCATGGCAAACACATTTTGAACCGCCTCGAAAACCTCACGGGCCACAAAATCACGTAATATTGCTGCATCTGTTGGACGTACCATTACTACTACTACTACTATTACTATATATTATTAATATGAATTCTGTGGGAACTCTGGAAAAATAATAGTATTCCGCGATAGTACTGTAGTACAGTGTATGACTATTAATATATACTACTAGTATTAAATAAACTATTAATAGTACTAACTTCCGTCGGAACTTATGAGCAATTAGTAGTACTAATACTAACTAGAACTACTATGACTTGATAGTATTAAGAGCGTTAACGACACGTTTATTGGTTACGACTAGTCGTTTTGGTACTAGGTAGTGCATCACGCACAGTCAGTGCAATCGAATGTTTCCCAAGAAGTAACTACTACTACTACATAGTAATCAACTATTTTGCTAGATCCTTCATGAACAGTCGAATAATAGACTTCAATTTACACGCAGTCTATCGCTTGTGTGATAGTTACACTTCTGGCGTCGATTTGGTCATCATGCGTCTATAGATGGCTTCCACTTGATCTTCGCCCGAAATGCAGATCTGAAGGTCTCGGATGATCCCATCTTGCAACCTACATTGAATATATATATATATAATCTTAAAGAAAGTATAAAGTATTTACAAAACGTCACGTTGCACCATCACTTGCTTCGTACCGGTAGCACAACCCGTGCACGCTCAACGTGTGGCCATTTTCCCATGCATTTTGCACGATGCGAGAGTGGCATACATTGTACCTATGCAAATCAAAATCCAATCAAATTGGTAGTCGGGTATGGCGGGTCGTACACGGAGCGTGCCACGTTTTCTTCCGTGAGGAGGTCCGCCTTGGTCGATGTATCTGTCATGTCTACAGCCATGGGATATATATATATATATTATAGTAAACCCCGATGGACTTAGTGAAATTAAACGCACGCTCAAACTTGCGAGCGTTCTCAATGTACAAGTCCTTGATGCTTCGCAGCCAGTTGTCCACGAGCCCAAATTCTTCTTGCGAGAGGGCGGCGTTGACGCCACCGCAGCCGTAATGACCACCTTCCACATGTCATCGTGGGTCTCACACTCCTTGAAACTGGCCGTGTACGTACAGACGATGATGTGGCGGACCTTGAGATACTTGACAGCGTATTCGATCACCGACAAGCAATTCATGTCTGTGCTGACTAGACGAACCAAATGAGCATACATGGGCACCAACGACGATGGAGATTCGGGTGTTCCACGTACTCACTTGGTTGGCAATGTTGCGATGCACAAATACTTCACCGGGAGACAGGTTCAGGATTTCGTTGGCTGGCACGCGCGAGTCCGAGCATCCGATCCATAAGATCTCGGGGCTCTGCTGTATTGCGAGGCGCGTGAAGAAGTCGGGGTCTCGCGCCAGCATCTTTTCAGCCCACGCGCGGTTGCGGTCCAACAGCTGCGCGATGCCCTGCTCCCCGCTGTGCACATGCACCCGAGGCGACATTGGTGGACTCGTTGGTGACGGTGGGGGCACCGCGAAGTTTGGATCGCTGTCACAATGATGCATCGACCCAAGTCCAACAAGTGCGGCTACTGTGATGCTTGCGAAATCGCGGGTATCCGGATGTATCTCCGATCTTTATCCGAAATTGCCCGGTTCCACAATTTGTTTCGAACACGTCTGAAATGTCCATTTGCCTGAATTTCAAGCTAAAAGCTCACCATTATCCAATGACCACGAGTTGAAACCATGACAGAATTTGTATGAAGTTGATGCAGGGTTGTATGCACGAACCATACTGTTGTCTTTCTTTTACCCAAAATGTAGACTTTTGTGCTGACTCGCCAACTCTATCTGATCGATTCTCTGTACTGAATTATGTATGTAAAAAAAGGGGATTGGTATCACACTAATTAAGTCACACATTAATTTGATGTTGGAAATGGTTTCCTGCAATCTGATTGGCTAAATCCTTCTGCCGATTCTTGTGTGTGTTGATTCATTCTCCATGTCGCTCCAGTTTAGAATATAAACACAATAACGTTATACCATCCTAGTTAGCAGTCTGCGATGTAACTTGCCTGATCTATCCCAACTACCAGTCTACTCCAATTTTGGATTTGGATTTTTACCCTAATTTACGGGGGGGGGGTGAAATTGTCCACAAATCCAGCAAAGCAGTATGATTGGCTAAAAAGAATGAAGGTTGCACTATTATTGGTTAAAAAAAATGAATTCTGAAAACTTTGTTTTATACTGAAACGTTAGTAGTATTATATTAGGTCCGTTCATTCAACCAACCGGTTCGAGGAAATTCCGAGTCGAACGGACATAATATTATTCCGATTTCAATGGAAGGACATAATATTATTCCGATTTCAATGGACGGACAAATATTATTCCGATTTCAATGGACGGTTCATGAGGATGCTCTGGAGGTCTTCGGCATTCACGCGGCCCTAATGCAGTTCCTCGTGTGAAAAATATATTGATAAAAAACTATACCAGTTTCTTTTTTTAAAATCATTTTTAATGTTGGAGTCCATTTTAGGAGAATATTCAAATACGTTATTAAGGAGTGCTTTAACTTGATTCTCGATATGGAGGGTCAAATTACCTGGATCATGTCGTTAACTGTACGGAAGATTGGCAAATCCAAGCCGCACTGGTCGGCAAAGTACACGGCCACCTCCGCCGTGGGCACCCCTTCCACGGTCGCGTCCTTCATAATGTCTTGCATGCTTTCGCCCCTACATATATATATATATTCATCCCTTAGTATATATATAAATATATATATATATACGTCGAAAGAGGAGCCATAGTCCAATACATTCACATTCAGAATATGTATGTAGCCATTCACACGAGGCAACGACGAATCTCCACATGGATAAAATTGGGGTATAACAACATTATTGTGATAGGATCGTCATGGAAACATGGATATGGGGGTGGTAAACAAGATATTCGTGTGAAATGGTTCGAAAACTCGATCGACACACACAAGTCCAACTATATTGACCTGAAAAAGGACATGACGATTTTTATATATATATATGATATTTGGAGGGTAGTAGTACTACTACTCACTTGATCAAGCGAATACCACACGTCCGGTTACGCGACAAACTGCCAAATGCAGTGAGCATCAAGTCCCCAATCCCTGACAGCCCCGAAATAGTGTGCGGCAGACCCCCCATTGCGATGCACAGCTTCTGCAGCTCCAGGGAACTCCGCGTGACGTACGCCGCCAGCGTATTGATGCCCATGCCGCTGCCTTCGATCATGCCGGCGCCGATGGCCAGCGGATTCTTCAGAGCCCCACCCAATTGCACACCAATGATGTCCTGTACAAATACATTCAAAGGTATTCTATATTCGTGCAAAAATATTATATTTTCAAAAATGTTATATATCATCGTCGTCTTGAACAACACATCCCCACAAAGTGCAATTTGCCCTTTCAATATATATATATATATATATATATATATATGTGCAGCTCCACACAAATACACGTTGCACTTTGGTCCAAAATGAATACACGTGTGCTTTCCAATGGTTTTCAACGCATGACGTTGCATTACCTGGGAACTGTAAATGCGAAAGTCCACGGTCGAGAGCAGTCGCTGCACGCGCACAGCGTGGTACAACTCTCGAGCGGCCACCACCTACGATACGTTGTTCAAAAAGTGCGAAATAATATATATATATATATATATATATAGAGTTTGCCCAACATACCACAGCGGACGGAGCGTTCTTCATGAGTTCCAGCGCAAACGAAGGCCCAGACAAGAACGATAGGGGCTGGTCACGCCCCAACGCTTCCAAGATAGGCACAGACAGCAATTGCTTGGTCTTTAAATACAGTCCTATGTCGTTGCTTGGCAATTACATCCCACCACAACAAGACGACGATGTTACCCTTGGACGTGACAACCAAGATGGCATCCGACGGAATCGAGTGTTTATGCTGCGCTAGAAAGTCAGGCGTTCCTTGCGCTGGAATGCATATGACCACCAACGTGGCGTTCGCACAGCTTTCCTCGACGCTACAACATACCGAACCAAGGTTAGCATGCTCTTCCGACAACGGGACTTTACCTGGTCGTGGCGATGATGGACGGGGCCAGCTCAAACTCTGGGAAAAAGAGGGGGTTGCGTCGTGTGGTGTTGATGGCATTCACTTGGTCCTGGTTGCGAGCGTAAAGCGACACTTGGTGGCCCTGCCGCGCGGCAATTTGCGCCATGGCGGTCCCAAAGTTGCCCGCGCCGAGCACGGCCACCTTGACGGTTTCGCTGAATGCACCGGGAAGCCCGGCGTTCGTGGCACTGGCGACTCCCAAGTGCAGCGTCATGATCTGGGAACGGATGCGGAAACGCGACCAAGTTCTCAAACTGGTGCCACTTCGACCTCCCAAAAACATACTTTGTGCGTCGAGTCAACACATTTCCGTCAACCGGATACATACGTTTAAACATAGTTGAAAGGCAGCCAATCGCTGACTTTAACGCGTTGATTTCAACACAAATGGTGTCAGCAAAATAACCAGGAAAACAACCGATCATGGTAGCGGAACCCAAGTCGTTCGTTTATGTGGAGGGCTAACATCTACCACCTCCAAAAATCAGAGATACTTGGTCGCACCCCGTAGATCCAGCCATTGGCTCATTGGTGGGGCATGCATGGTACCTCCAAGAACGTGCTCGGCCATCGAGATGGACGTAAACATCAGTACAGTACATACCCCGGCAACGACCTCGCCCATGTCCCCTAACTACGCTCATGTCCTCTAACTAGGTAGACGCTTCGTGCTCAACTGCATTGCTTTAGTATACACGATAATGTTATTTGAAATCCATCGACAACGGGCCCACCCTGTCGACCCTGCGATTGGGGCTGTCTGCACTCCCCCACCTCCGTCTAGCCCGTGCAGCGCGATTAAACTGAACGTCGACTTCCCTGGCTACGACCTCACCAACATCCCCAGCAGCACTCCCCCGCGGTCGCTGTGACATTTGCGCCACGTCAGTAGACTGCCGTGAGTTTTGTGTGGAGCGCCTCTTGAAAGCTTCGAAACTAGGGGGGGCAGTCAACCCCCCCAGTGCGACCGCTGGAGTTCATCTTGTTCCAAATCAGCCAGTGCTCCCCCCTGGTCTCGTCGAAGTTTCAGGGGGTGACGTGTCAAGGCCAGCCGAACTTCCCACCCTCGACTTCACTTACTGTATATTCGTGGTTCCAGGACCCAAAAAAAAAACTCTCAATAAGGACATTCGTGGCTTCAGAACGCCCTGAGTTGAACACGTCGCCGGACCCAGTCTGTTCAAGTCGATGGGGGCTTTATGCACAATTTGTTAACCAATGTCAACTCGACCGGCGAATGCGCCGCCCTCGTGCTTTGGCTACACGTGTTTTTCTGTTTAGCCCCGTGGATTTGTATTGCTTGGCGCAAATTATTCCACGGGCACCCCCGCAACCACATCATTCAAGGTCGCAGATTCGTCGTCTGTCGTCAATTCGTTCGACATAGTTGGTTAACAACCAATGACCCTTCGACCACATCTGAAGCTGCTAGCATCGATAAACCCTTGTGTGGTACCCACTGTACACATACGTGACCTCTTCGTGCACGTTATTGGAACCGGTGCGTGCCTCGAACCAAGTTGGGTGCAACAACCCCTTCACTTTGAACACGACATCAATATATATAAAGTATCCCCAGTTTTGTCCATTTGCTTTTATTAACGTTAAGTGACTGGCGTCCTACACGTACGTGTAGCCACATATATATATATACCTGTGGCTACACGTACGTGTAGGACGCCAGGTGTACCGTAGTCGGCCATGTCTACCCCCACGCTCGACGCTTGCGCGTCCATCGCGGTGACCGGTGTCGTGCTATTTTCCTACACACCCACCCCAACGTGGCCAATGTCTATCAACAGAGGCACCTCCATCCCCATGTCCGTGTCCATGGTGGGGGACACAGACCTCGCTTCGTCGCACCTCGAGTGTCCTGTTCGCAGCTAACCGTCCCGCACTCGTTGCATTGTTACCTGACACTATGTCCTTACTGTGTGTGCACCCAGTACGCACCTACGTTCATACAAGGCATGCATGCAATTAAATGGCTTCGCGGTATTGGCCTGCCCCCTCAACCAACGTCCGTGCAACGCTTGGTGGTGGTGACTTCGGCCCATCAAGCTTCCCGCCCGACCCTTACGACAGACTAGCCGCCGATCACACGACCAAACAAAATGGTGTCTGCCGGCGACGCCAACATGACCGACGGTTGGTACGAGGGGCGGGAGGTTGGCAAACCACCCAAAGGAGGCTCCAGGTGGCCGGGTTGTTGTGTGCCGTCAACAAGGGAGCTCATGACCCGGTGAACAGCCACGTACTGTAGTAGTCGCGAGGATAGTATCGGGGACTCCATCCATTCCCTTTTCCGACTCCCAGAAGAAAGGGCTACATGAGTGCCTGTGCCGCCCAACCAGGTATGTTTCACCCGTACATCATCAACCCATCGCGCCGTTTCAAAGTTTCTACTATCGCCAACCCGCACACTGAAATTGTTGATCAAGTTTGAGGTGACGAAAGTTGGTACCGTGGTGGTCGTGACCTACTACAGTACGAAAGCCCCCAAACCGTCAAATGGCTGGGACCACGACCTCCACCCCGGTGGCTCGTCGAAGCAAGCTCGACCAGTGCGTGCATCGGCGGTGCTACTCGGTTCTACTATGGCTACTGCTTTTGGCACATTGTGGTGAACATATCATGCGGATGGTGCGTATAACTACGTTATGAAGGTTGCTGGGTTCGACTTCAGCAATTACAACAGAGTTCTGTAGCATAGCCACGACAGTGACTTGACAGAAGTGGCCTGTGGCAGTGCGTTTCGTTTCTAACTACATTGGGGTAGCTAGCTACCTATCGAACATGCCAACGTGGTCAAATGTACTCTCAGGTAGTTCATATGCCACGATAATGCTTTGGGCATTCGAAGGATGCAAGCAATTGAACCAGATCGGTTACAGTTTCACATGTCACTGAAACTGGGCAATATGTCCTTAAACCGAGGGATAATGACGTGGATGTCACTACCGGTATTATCATTTCCATCCCACCGTTTGGACCAATAACAGGCGTCGATTCATTGGCCACTCCATCTATCGCCACCTCATCGCTACCTCCGCCGCCATGGACTTGGACGCGCTCGCCTACATTCCGTACAACCACCACTCACTTCCTGCCATGTACACGGGTCTGCAGTCGCAGTCCACGTACTCCACGTACGCCTCGCTCTACAACGCGTTTGAGCTGTACTGGTTGTGTGCTGTTCCCCTTCTCATGCTGGGCATTCCGCTGTGCCTGTCGTTCATCCCTGTGGATGCTGCCCTCCGCACCGTTCTGGTATGCCGTCCGCATGTGTCTTTATCATCGTGATCTACAGGCTATTCCATACATCCTTCTGATGGCTGACGCCATGCCGATGTAGAAACCGTCGCTTGCGTCCGTCATCCTCCCTCCTCCTTCTCCTTCAACGTCGTCGTCGGCGTCCCCCACCTCTTCGATCAATCCAACGTGGATCATCCCAAGGCACATGGCTGTCGTCATGGACGGGAACCGGCGGTACGGACGTTCCAAGTACGGCGTTCCCATGCGCGGGCACCACGACGGCAGCCAACGCCTCGTGGACTTTCTCAGCTGGGCCATGTCCGCGGGTGTGCAGATCCTCACCGTGTACGCGTTCTCCACAGAAAACTGGAAGCGCGACGCCGCCGAAGTGAATGCCCTCATGGGCATCTTCGACTCGTTCATGATGGACATCATCCCCGAAGCGCTTGCCCGCAATATCCGCGTGCGCGTGCTGGTGTCGGACGCGACGCACTTGCCCCAGCATGTGCAAGTATCTATCCAGGAGATTGAGGCCGCGACACAGCACTGCTCGGCGTTTACACTTAATATTTGTGCCAGGTATATTATATACGAAGTATTTATGTATTATATACACGATACTTTTGCATTCCATCATTTGTGGGTAATCATATGTCTTAGGTATATATATTTATACCATATATATATATATACACCGCATATATTTATGTATATACACGATGCTTTTGCATTCTATCTTTGTGGGTAACCTTGGAACTTGGAATGTCTTAGGTATATATATACCATATATATTTATGTATATACACGATACTTTTGCATATCCATGTTTGTGTAGTAATTCCTTGGTATGTCGATTGTATTTTCTTAAAAGTGATATCCATTTGCTTGTGTTTTATGGTGTTAAAGCGATTGTTCGCACATAATTGGCTCATAGGAGCGTTTGCTCCAACTAATTTCGTTCGTAAACGCAATATCCTCAAGTACTCGATGTGATATGGTTTTATATTTTTTAGTCTTATATTCGAACAATTGTGTATGTTGAAATACTCTTGAATGTGTATAAATCTAGCGTATATCTATGAGAATAACATCTGAGATATGTGCGGCATGTGTGTGTAGCTACGGCTCTCGGAATGAAATCACCATGGCATGTCGACAGATTGCGAAAAAAGTTGCGTCTGGGGAGCTCAACGTGGACGACGTGACCGAGGACATCGTGAGCCAGCACTTGCTTACTCGGTAATAGCTGTCAAAATGGCAAAGAGGGGGTGGCTTTGATCTGACAGAGTGGCTTAGAAACTTGCCAGACCCAGAGGTCCTGGTACGGACGTCGGGCGAGTTGCGAGTGAGCAACTTCCTCATGTACCAGATAGCGTACGCGGAGCTCATTTTCGTGGACAAGTTGTGGCCGGCGCTTACCCACGACGACTTTATTGGCATTTTAGCCGAGTATAATCGCCGCCAGCGTCGTTTTGGCAAATAATCGACTACATATCCATGGACTACGTATTAAAGACAATTCAAATTGTGTTTGCTTGTCATAAAGCGAAAGCCAACAAGGAGCTTTTCTATTAGGCTGCCCATCGAATTGGTAAAGAGTTAACGTTATACTATTGTGAATTCGCTATAAACTTGCAAAATTCGGGTGGTTTTTTGTCGAATCAATATTGAATAATCACGCTGGAGTTATGATTGGTTGAATATACTTGTCTTTTCTGCAGAAGAGCCAATCAAATCTAATCAAATTTGGATTAGCCAATAGCGTTGATTCGTGATTCGATTCGGCGGAGAGATACATTCGATTCGACGGGGTCTGGAAATTCGTATCGAATCAGTTTAGTACCTGGTAACGTAAAAGTCCAATTTAAGGTGCACGCGAATTAGCCAATCAATTCCTACAAAGGCAGTTTTTAACCTACCCGCCCAAAAAATATGCAAATGAATATACAAAGACTAAGCTTAAAATGGTGCACCTTAAATTGGACCGCTGGTTTTAAGCTGTTTCTGGACAAAGTAATGTGAATGATAATAAATTAGACTTTTACGTTAATCCTCATTTACAATTATTGGGTTCCTAGGATGGATCCATACTACTGTAGTAGGGGATTAACCCTATTGGACGCGAGCTTTTTGGGCGAATTTCGGTAAAATTCTCAAAACTATTTCAATTGGTCGTGTTTGATTGGTCGTCGCATATTGAACGTGAAGTTGCCACCAGATTTCCGACAGAACAAACCCAATCACCATGTCCGCAACGTGCGGTATCTGCAGCGTTGGTCCGCGCAAGTACAAGTGTCCGCTGTGTCGGCTGCCGTACTGCAGCACTGTGTGCTACAAGGTCCACAAGGAAGTCCCATGCGCGGCTCCCGCCCCGGCTGAACCGACAGAGCCGTCGGCTCCTCCCACGACAGTCGCCACCACATCCTCAACGGGTCAACCTAGTACCGAGGAGGACGAAGTTCCGCTCTTGACGAACGAGCAACTGGCCGTGCTCTCCATGTCGGCCAATTTGAAGAAAGCGCTGCACGACCCCGCGACCCGCAGCAAGATCACAGCGGTACGTACACCGTTCCATCATCCATCCCCAACTCTCGTTGACAGATCTCTTTATATGTGTTGGATGCAGATCGACGCACACCCGGACCGTCTACAAGAGCTGCAAAAGGCGCTGACCGACCCTGTATTTGCTCGATTTGTGTACAACATGATGGACGAGGTGCGTGCATGATGTATGCGCGTGTCCACCTTAGCGTTTGTTGCTAATGGGAACGGTTCGCTAGGTGAATAGCGGCGCCATCAGCACCAATTAACCGAATCTAACTATTGCATGTAAACTATCATGATGTTCCCCCGTCTCCTTCTTTGTACGAGTGAGCAAGAGTGTATCGTTCTACAATCTTAGGATGGTTCTACAGATAGCCTTGAAAGGAACGACTAGTGATACATGTACAAGGCCTCAGAAGGTTCGTTTATCCATAGCCGTAGCTGCATGCAGTAATTGGACATGAATGTTGGATCATCACCGGCCATACTCTATCTACTCAAGGCGTCGTCTTCGTTCCGTCCACCGAAATTGGAAAATGAATCGACATGATGGGCATAATATGATAATTAAGTACAGTTTTGTATACCATACTTTAACCTAGTCTGTAGTGTCCCAGCCAAGGAATATTGAACGGTCGTTGATTCGTCGATTCCACTCGCCCAGATACTATTTATAAATGGGCTAGTATTACTATTCAATACTAGTACTATTAAACTACCGGTATTAATACTATCATACTATTATTAATAATCTTAACACTATTATTAATTGTTAACGTTAACGCTAATAAAGAGATGATTCATTCGGATAATGTGATCGGGCCAATGGTTAAATCCATTACAATTATCAAGTAATTGCAATGTAATTACTCGAACGTGTGACCTTACATATTTGTTTCCGATCTTCCCAGCGTCATGGACATTCCAATCGTCGATTGCTACAGCGCTGATGCTGCCGCCCAGTTGCGCAAGGTACGTCGGTGGTCGCGAGTGTACACATGCCAACGCGGAGTAGGCTTGCATGGAGGTGGGTTTCTTCTACCTGACCGACCACCGCGTCCCGCAAGAGCTCGTCGAGTCGGTGTACCACGAGATGCGCCTCTTCTTCTCCAAGCCCGAGAGCGAGAAACGGGAGGTGCTGGCCGATGAAAACATGCGCGGGTACACGCCGATGAACGAGGAGACCCTCGATCCCGCGGTGCAGACCCAAGGCGATACGAAGGAAGGTACACATCATCCTCGATCCCATTCAACAACGATATTCAACGTGCCACGCATTAGGCTATTACATTTGCCGAGAAGCTCTTCCCGACGAAGTGCATCTACCCCTTCACGGAAGCAACGTATTCCCCAAGGACAACCCGACCTTCCGACGCGTGATGGAGCAGTACTTCGACTGCATGTGCGAGCTCGGCTATCACGTCGCGCAACTCTTTGCCGATGCAGCTGGCGCCCCCGGTGCGTTTCAAGCTGCGGGCATGTTCGACCGGTAACGATAGGATTCCGTGAAATCAAGTACTTATCGGACTTTACTATTATTACCTCGTAGCCCGATGGCAGCGGTGCGCCTTCTGCATTACAACGACCAACTGTCGAACGTCGCCGACGGAGTGTTTGGAGCGGGGGCTCACACAGACTACGGTCCGTCTCCACATCTTGGTGGCTTGAACCTCATGCAAAGTAGGGCTGTTGACACTTCTATCGACGGATGGCAACCCTGGGCTAGAGATTTACCACAATCAGGAATGGATCCCCATATCCCCCAAACCCAATACTTTTGTGGTTAACATTGGGGATCTCGGAGGTACATATTTGTATAATGTCAATATATATATATTGGAACGTGCTCTAGAACGATGGACGAACGGCTTGTTTAAATCGACACGGCATCGAGTGGTAAACAATGTTGTTTTGCGATCCCTCGGAATACTGACCGAGTCTAAATCCAGGTGAACCGCAATGGCCAAGAACGATACTCGGTTCCCTTCTTTTACGAACCCAACTTTACGTGCCAAGTGACGTGCCTGTCATCGTGCGTAGACGCCGCCCACCCCCCTCAATACCCCCCCATCACCAGTGGCCAGCATCTGCTCAACATGTATCGCCAAACCCACGACAGTTTCACCGAGTTTACGACCCAAATAACTAGTGATTAACGCTGCCGAGTACGAAATACTAGTTAGTAGGCAGGCTTGCATTCAACCTTAGTACGACACAACCACGTAATCCAAGAGGAGAACCCTCTTTACATATATCTATGTCAGCCCCATATGTACAATAAGTACATCGCTGAAAGAATTGGACACTTTAGTTATGAATGATTTCAATGAAGAAATCAAGACATTTCTTTTTCATAATGTTGTTTTCACTCGTTTTGAAATCGAGAATTCGAAAACGAAAGGGTAAAACGACAAACTTAAGGAACCTCATTCGAAAATAGCAAAAATATACGCAATAATATCAAGGGTAGTACATTTTTAACTCTTTAACAGTTAATCGTTTTCCTTTTGCTTGTACTGTATCAACGGTACTAACTACTCCAGTACTACAGTATATTATAATAGTTTCATTTCAGGAAAAACGACATGGTCGTTGCTCATGCTACAGCTGTAAACTCTACGTGAACATTCAACATTGGCGTGCAGTCCCAACGTGTGAGTTTTGTTGGTCATTCTCGTTGCTTTTCGTCCTGCTATTTCACGTACACGAATCAAACAACGCAAGTGCTTCCCAATCAGGCTACTACATCTGTACGAGCACTACAAAAAGAAAAGACGCCTCGATTTGTCAGTTAAAAGGAAGGCCCGTCCTTAACCACAATATAGTCGTTTATCCCCTAGAATGTGCGATAGAATTGTACCTAGTCGTTGTGCGTGTGTGGTATGGCGTCAACACTTTAGTTGTGAAAGGATATATATATATAAAAGTCCGAACCAACTAAAGCTACCTACTACTAACTACTACACTGTACGTAATATCACCTTACAATTGGTAGTACTACTTACTACCTACGCAGTTGTTTGATTAGATTGCCAAAAGGATATGGTTAGTTGTTCATTGGCCAATAATCTGGTCATACACGATTGTGATTGGTCCGATGCAAAGAGATATGGGATCAACAATCAACATGTGTGCATTTTGCCATATCTCATCGAGACAACAAATCGCAGAAATGGTGGACGTTTGGCACATCAAGTTGTCTTGGAACGATGAAGATCATGTCTCCAACGTCATTTCCAAATTATCCTACTTACCCACATGAACGCCACCTTCGGCAACCTCGACCTCCTTCGTCAGATCACATCGTTTCAGCGGGGTATGCCACTGGACTTGCAGCCGTTCCACGCGTTTGTCCAATGCCACTACATCAACCGCGGTCGCAGTCCGCGGCACTCGAGCGTGTGTCCCAACTTCCTCCTTCGACGAGACCCGGAATTCCTCCACCTCCAGCTCCAAGCGTTCGGTGCCATCTTTACGCCGTGGTTTGCTGGCAGGGAGGCCGCGGCAGACATTCCTCGCCTGCTCTGCGTGTCCGAGAAGCTGAACCTGGTTCTCCTTCATTGGACCATCCAATACAACCACATCGAGCTGCTCCACTACATCCACGCAACGTACCACATTGAAACGTACGTCCACCCGACGGCCATCGCGGCGTCCCGCGGGTCGCTTCCTGTGATCAAGTACCTGCACGAGGCCAACTCGGGCGAGTTTTTCCCGTATACGATGGACTGGGCGGCGCAAGGCGGTCACTTGGACTTGGTGGAGTTTCTGCATTTCCATCGATCTGAAGGCTGCACCACGAGTGCGATGGACATGGCCGCGCGGTTTGGACATTTCAATGTAGTGAAGTTCCTGCACGCGCACCGCACAGAAGGGTGCACGACCGTCGCCATGGACCAAGCGGCAGCGTTCGGACATGTCGAAATTGTGAAGTTTCTGCACACCTACCGGACCGAAGGGTGCACGACCAACGCCCTGGACAGCGCGTGCTCGGGTGGACACTTGGACATGGTGAAGTTTTTGCACTTCCACCGCCACGAAGGGTGCACCACCAGCGCGTTCAACTCGGCCTGTTGTGGTGGCCATTTGGAGATTGTGAAGTTTCTGCATGCGCATCGCACAGAAGGATGCACGCACCGCGCGATGGAGTCGGCGGCCGAGTGCAAGCGCTACGACGTGTGTCTGTACCTGTCGGAGCATCTGCCCCATCTTGTCAACAGATCCAACATCACAGTCGTGATGGCAGTGGGAGAAGCTAGCTGGAGACAATCCGAAGCGCTCAAGAAGGAAGCCGCCGCTCGATTGATCAAGCAGAAAGAACAAGAGGCGGTGCCTGGGCCTCGACTACTCACGTCCCCTTGGTCGCAACTGCTCTCGACAAGTGTGCAACGAGGGGTGGTGGCCTTGATGCAGAGCTTGGTGAAATAAATGACCAATATTGAACACGACTTTCTAAACACGGTGAACTACGAATAAATAGTAAATAGTAGTACTAGTATTAATAATAGTAGTCGTAACTTAAGTTATTAATAGTACTACAAAGGAAGACCTTTGATTGGCTATTATCGATGGGTTGTGTTTACTACTTCGAAGTAGTACTATTAATAGTATTGTGCTTTGCACTTGTTTTGGCGTCAGTTTTACTTGGCTAAAAGAGTGGTAATTCTGCTGTAACTGTGTTACAAAGTTGAATAAATACCTGGTGTTTTAGCTAATTCACTGGGGTTTTATAAATGCCAAATAACTCTGAGCAATAATAATCACATGTGATCCTGAAGTGACCAAAACACCTTGGCTATTAATTCCATCGCGTAGTACATGCTACCTGCATGTACTATGCGATGGAACAAGAAGATGGCGTGGTTTTCTACGATGTGGCACCATACGTACATCGCTGTACGGTAGAACACCGGCGCATGTCCTCGCTGTGTGACATTTATAATATCAAAAGTTGTTCATGGTGACCAGTGAATTGTGCAATTTGGTCCCGAGAATAGCAGATATAACTTCGATTTGCACTTTTCATATGTGCAAAAGCGAGGGAGTTGCATAAATCACCTCCCTATAAGTACATTCTGTAACGAAACGTGATCCTAAATCACGGTACGGATAATCTAGAACACTGGGGTCGATGTAACAAACACCCAGGTTTATGGTGTGAATAGCCAAAACGAGTGAAAAGCACAATAATACGTAGTACTTTATATTCATAGTACAGGAATATTATTGACGGCACTTGATTTGTTGTCACCACCCAAGGGATTGCATTTGTTGCCGCCACCTAGTATGATTCCGACGTTTGCCGCGACCGATTTGACTAATTCGAATACCAATCGATCAAGACCTACTACTATACTATGGTAGCTGTTAACGGTGCTCTATCGCATGGAGAGCACGTACTAATACACAGTAGAGTTCGTTTCCAATATGAATTAGGCTTGACTGGAACGGGTTTGGGAAGACAGTGGGGCATGCATTACTGTACCACAAGCAGGGGTACAACAAGCACCACCCACATCGCGTTCACGTCCGGCACCCGATCGTAGTTGAGAAATGTGATCTATCCATGAGGAATGAGAGTACATTTATGCTGTTGTTATGCTGAGGTATATACTGTACAATTACAAACGACCCAACGTAAGTTTGATTTCTTGATTCTGTACCGTACAGTGTATTAATCAGCGTCGGATATCGGTACCAGTAAATGTACCGTACACGAACATACTAACTATTTGAACGGTTCTTATGCAACGCAAGGCTCCAAGTACTACTTTCGTATCCCACTGTTGATGTGGAAACAGGAGTACTGTAGTACTGTACTAGTAGCCAACAATAAACAAACCCGATCCACTCAAAGTACACTGTACTACGTAGTACTAGTACCGTACTGTACTGCAGTAGAGCTCCACTGACGTTAGTGTATTCGCAGAAGTGCTTACTCAGTAACGTTTTAACTGCAGGTACTGGCTGACGGTTACTACGTAGTAAGTAGTATTTCAGTACAAGAACAGTTGTGTGGTTACTCCGAGAATACGGCTGGGCCACGGAGCTTAGTAACGCTACAACTAACTACATGTACTACGTAGTAGTTATTATTGGCATATCTACCGACTAGTACCAGCAACAAACGAAACAGGTCGTGTCTTGGCCTTTTTCGTTTGCTCCGCCATCGTCGTCGGTGAACTAGTTAGTTCCATGCACCCCGCCCACAACATAGCGGCGTCGTGACCATCCAAATCAGTCCACGCGCTTTGTTCGAGCTCGCATTCGTCCTGGTCGTTAATACAGTACTGCGTTTTGAGGGTTTCTTGGGTTTTGTGCAGCCGCTCGAACGAAAACTGCTGCAGCAAACTGGTCCCAGGCACTCTGGGCGGGACTACCACCCGCGTCCCAGCGTCTGCCACGTCCTCAATCACGTTGTCATCGCAAGCATCCACAAAGGAGTATTGCTGTCGAAGCACCGCCACCAATTGGTTCATCTTGGCTTCGTCCCTTTCAAAATGCCGGACGTCTTCCCATGTGGTTGTGGCAATCTCCACCGTGTCCAGCTCGTCCTTGTTGTCGGCGCCGTCGTCGTGCTTAGAAAGCTGATGGTGCTTGGTTCCATGTTGTTTGCGGTGCGGGGCTGGGTGGTACGGCTTGGCGTGGTCTTCGATCCTTGCTCGAAAGTGCACAATCACCTTGGTCGCTGTCGTGCGCTCCACGAACGCTATGTTACAACTCAGCACCCGCCACACGAGTCGAGGCTGCTGCCAGTGCGCGGTGGAAACCTCCGCACAGAGGACTTCACATTTCCTCACCACCACCAACCTCACCTGCCCAACGGCTGTCTTAAACGCTGTCGCATATACAATTTGCATGGGGGGCTCGACATCTGTGACTTTGCGCGGTCCAGTGGTGCTGTGGCGGTGCCGCAAGCCACCCGTCATGCCTTGCAAATACCCCACGACCGCCTATTAATTGCAACCCCCCACTCAATCGACTGTGTTAACCAACAACAACGTAGCGGACGTTTCGACCGTACCGTACTCCAAATACCCGCCGCGTCGTGAGGCAAGAGGCGGCCGTCGGCGCCAAACACGTGGGACATGCGCTTGCGATGCTTGTCAAACGCTTTTTGCTTTGTTTCAAACGCGAGGCCCGCCACGTCCCGAACGCCTTCGACCATATGTGTGGCAAAATCCATCGCCCCAACCACGGGCTTGACCACGACACCAGTGAAGCCCTGGGCAACTCCCCCCACAAGCCCCCTCCATCCCCCCCGCCGCCCCCCCCGGATCGGATCCATCACAAGTCCAGTGAGCCCCCCTACAATTCCAGAGAACACGTCGTGCTTGAGCTTCTTCACGTCCAAACGCAATTGATCGCGGCGACTCGTGGGCCGAGCCAACGCGTATACGTTCCGTTTGGCCTTGAACACTCGATCCCCTGAGAACGCCGCGACCGAGTTGCCCATCGCCCCCGTCATGCGGGACGTCGTGTCAAACAACCCAAACGTCGTGTGCCCCAGTAGGGAGGCCGTGCCTTTGGTCAGCCCCCTCACAAACCCAGTGCCCCCCCCTGACGTGAGACCGGCGTACGGCTGCACGACAAAGTCGCGGACCCCCCCCGCAACGTTGGCCGCTAGTCCCACCGGATTGCCCATGAAATTCATCGACCCTACAGTAGTCATCCACTTAGTTGTTGCCTTCGAAACTACTTATATATATATATTGCAATGACAGTAAAATAATTCCTTTTTAAAATAGAATTTTAGAAATCTGGATTGAGAGTTATAGAGAGTTATAGAATTTAGGTATAAGACTCCACGGGGATAGCATGTCAGCTCGATAGACGACAAGTACTGAAGACAATGATATGGAAGGAACGTGGATATTGCAATCACGTACCAATGAGCTTGTACAATTGGCGAAGGATGTTTGTGGAATAATGCTGAAACACCAGGTCTTGGAGCTACTCAGGTCATTATTTTGGGTTTTACAGTTGTCGTAAAGGAATGAGGGGGACTGTATGTACTGTACGTGGTGCAAATCGGTGATTTCGTGGTCCAGGCGCAACGCGTTAAATTCAAGGGGGGCGTTTTCGATTGTGTTAGCGATGTTGAGAACCGCGGCCAAAAACGAATGCAAAAACTTGCTCTTGAGGTTGGGCATGGCCAATGACGATGACGACGACGAAGTGGATGATGTGTTGAGGGCGTACGTCGTGGACTTGCGAAACGTAATGTTGCATTTAAACGGCCGCACTTCAAGACACGCAATGTACACGGAGGACGTGGGGAAAGTCGACGTTGTGGAAAAGCCGGTCGAGAGGGGGGGGCTGCTGGGAGCAACAGACAGAGGGGTGGAGGTGGCACCCTCCCCCCCTCCTCCAAAAAGCGGCTGGTGCTTCTCATACAACCGCTCGCACACGTCGTACAAGGTGCGCAAAATGACTTCGTCAAATGTCCAGTCCGTTTCTTCGATCGATAGCGCGACGAGTTCAATGTGGGTCATGTGTCTTGCTGCTTCTCCAATCCGTCGCCCTCCAGGGGACCCAGGGCCGTGGCTGTCGGATGTTGTTTGTTCTAGCCTTCTTGTGACTACCACGGCTTGGAGCACCGGTTTCAACGCCTTTGCACTGGTCATGTCATGCGTACTACTCGTACTACAACTCGATATTGTGCGCGACACCATAACGGGCAGTTCCGTTTGGTTGAGTGCTTCGTTGCGCTGGTTGTCGACTTGGAACGAGTCCATGTCGATCGTCCACTGACATTGCTTGGACGACGTGAGGCACTTGACTTCGATGCCAGAACACGAAATCCGCAAAATCTCGTGGGCTTCGACCACACTATTCGAATGATTGGGGGGGGAGGACGTGTCGAGGACGGGTACCGGCGCCGACAGCGACACGGCCAGCTCCCCCACAAACACACTCACGTACGATTGCAGACGGCCCAACACAAAACTCGACTGCTCCGGCTCGTACGTCATGGTCACTTGTACGCACGGAGACGAAGACGGCGGCGACGCGTACCCTAGCTTCATTTCCACCGGTTGCAGCAGCTTGACCAGATCGAGCTCGACAGGGGACGTGTCGGCAAGCGGCGTGACGGGAAACCAAGCGCAGAAGGTGCCCCCGTGGCTGCCGCAGTAGTCTAACGCTACATCCATGGGCACTCGCACCTGGCCGATTATGCGACCGCTCGACGACCGTTTTGTGGTGCTTACGACATGTATAAGCAAGTCGCCACGATGCCGTCGCAAAGGGATCTAAAAACATCAATGTTCACGCCTTGGTGATCGATGTTTCCCCATATGATATAAATATCTTGTTCAATGCACAGACGAGGGCCCAATACGTCCAGAATATATGTATAAATATGTGGAACAGCGGTAATCTAGGAGGATTATTCAACCCACCTTGGGAATCGCAGAAGATATCGCTGTGGTCGCTGGCCACACAATTATGTCGTCTGCCTTGGCTTTGGGAGTAATGATTGTCGTGTCTTGGCACACTAAGACACAGTGCACTTTATCAAAACCCAGTCCGCCAAAGTGACGCCCTTCCAGCACCCCCACAACCACATGCCCCCCACTTCGAATAAGGCGATGGTAACATCTACATATCGGACCGTCAAGATATCAAGACTTGTCTGGATATAGATGTGTGGCCTCCGGATAACGAGGGTCGAACAAACGACAAACCGTTTGATGTCGGTGACGTGATCAACGTGCGACGTGGCGACTGGTGGTTTCGCGTGGTTCACATGGTTACTGCGGAGGCGGTGCAGCGACGCCTTGTACGACAACCCTCCGTGGTCCTGTCACATATATATATGAGAACAATGCATCACACCTCCCACGTGACATATATCACTTTTTAAATCAGAACTACACGGTATCAGAACATGATATCACGATAACGTTACTACAATTATTACGCGTACTACAAATACACTGTATCACACGTCACATGCAGTATATCAGAACATCACAACACCTGTACAGTACGATAGTGATATAGAAACATGTACTAGTAATTTGATTTAACGTTGGATCAGAACACCAGTACGAGAGTGATATAAGCATGCTATCGGATTCGTTGTGTGTTAGTACCTTGGTGGCGGTCCCAGTCGATGACGTGGCAGTAGCAGACGACGCGTGGCTTTCCTTGGCAAACAACCGTTTGACGTGCAAAATACTCGTGCGGACGTTTGCTTTGTGCAGCTTTTTCACTTCGGACATCCACCGCTTTTCTGCTGCGTCTCGAAAGTGGGCAAATTTTTCATTCATGTGCACACTAGGGTGCTGAAGTTGCTGGAGTTGCTGGGTCCATTTGTCTTTGAGTTTGTTCTTCTGCGCCACCAGTTTGGCCTTGTTCTCAAGGAGAAGCGCCTTGGCCTTGGCTCGGCCTGCTTGTTGTTTTGCATGGTGATGCTCCACCGCCACATTCAACTTTCGTTTCTGCTCAAGCGCGCGCTCCTTGTCAATCTGCCGCAGCCGCGATCGAATGTACACGAGTTGTTCACTCAACACTTGCATCCGTTCGCGTAGCCGTTGGTACCAGTACTCGAGCAGCTGCGTCCGCGTGCGGGCCATCTGCACCACCACTCCCACCGTGCCCGTGACCACGTGATGCGACTTGGCGCCTGCCAACTTGACCGTCACGTGCTTGGTGATGTTGTCGTCGTCGTCGCCGCCGACCTCGACGACCGCCCGCCCCAGGAACACATGCTTTCCGAGCGGGGAATGCGACCGAATGTCAATTTGAATGGAACAGGCCGACTCGGCGCTCGCCTTTTCAAACAAAAACGCTTGATCTCGCCACACCGGGTCCAACGTCCGCTCGATGTAGTACGTCTTTTGCTCCATGCGTTTCAACATGGACGACGACAGCTTGGACGATGCCATCGCGGCAAACCGACCCCTGCCCTCTGTGGTGTGTGCCGAGGGTTGTCCGTGGGGGGGGCTAGAGGTCGTAGATGGTAGCAACGTGACGATGCCGTACGGATTGCTCCACCCCCCGCCCTCGGACGCCGGGGCTTTCAACCCGGACGCGCACACGACTTGCACGAGCACCTGCTGGACGTCTTCCAGCACCGGGCTCGTCATAAACGACACCATTTGCTCGTATAAGGCCTGCTCTGCGTTGTTAGTCGTGGTCGTTTCCGTCGGATGGTCCATCGATTGGAACAGCGTCAAACCCACTCGACCTTCCCCGCTCCTGCTCCTGCTGCTATTGCTACTGCTGTCAGGGCCGACGGGACCCCCCCTCTTTGCGCTAGGGTTGGACCTGTTGGTATCGACGACACATGACGACGTGCGAAGCGACCTGCTGATGGTGTGCCTGGTGTTTCGATCGCTACTCGTCGGGATGGTGTTCATTGGCGGGGGAGGGTTATGCAAGCTCGAAGCAAACGCCCGCAACGATACGCAGTCTGTGGCAGTACGGCGGCAATGCTGTCCCCCGCCCCCCCGGACAGTCGACGACCGTGGACTGCTTTCTTCCCATGACGGCGACATGTCCCGACGGGCGCGACGGCTAGAAGTGTGCACCGTAGCGAACGCGGCTCCACTTTGCAGCGCCAGCAGTTGCAGCAGTAGCCGCTGGACACGGGCTTCTTCATGGACAAACGTGCGCTTTTCGTCGTCCAAGGAAGTTGTATCTCGCACGCGGAGGACCCGCGTGACGCCGTCGTTGTCGATGCGGGCGCAACTGGTGGTACGTTTCGGTAGTTTTGGAAGAAACGGTTTCGATACAACATCGGAAGGGGGGGCGTCTGTAGATGTGGGGGGGAACGAATGAAGGTTGGTTCCAATGCTGGACGCCGTAGTGGTTGGTGATGGTCGATTGAGCGCCATTTGGAGCCCAATCACATCCAAATGAATCGACTCGACGTCGTCTAGCCCCAGTCCTTTTCGCTCCGAGACGAGGGCGGACGCGTACCCAAACTGCTTGGCTTGTTGGTAGTAATAATGTTTCTGCCTACTTTGGGCATTGGTCGGGACATACCCACCCCCCAAATGTAGCATTGTCGTTTCGTTGTGTGGTTGTTGCTTTCGCGCAGACAAGAGAAGCGCGTTGAGTTTGGTGGCTCGCGTGGTCCAAATATGGCGGGGCGAAGGGCGCGTGGCAGCATCTTCGTGTCTCAAACACACTGCCAGCTAACATGGCCGTTTCGCAACAACGTTGGGACGAACGTTGCAATGGAACATCGTACCTGGTGCAACGCCAGGGGTTCGGCCCATACATACACGGTGGACTTGCCCGGCGCAAGCTGCTTCCACCCGTTTGTCGGGCTCTCCACGCCCACTTGACGGTAATACAACACATGCGATGCCGTTTGGTTGTCAATGCGATACGAGACGTCCTCTATCCTCGTCACCTGTCGCAGGAGCGTCACGTACGTTGGCCCACACATCCGGGTGTGCACTCGCACGAGATTCAACGGCGCCATAGTGTGGTCCGCCATCAAGCTTGTCGGTGGCACCTTGGGGGTGGCTACGGGGGCAGTAGCTCCTAGCATAGCCGTCAAAACCAGGTCCTACTCAACAAGAGAAGACAAACCTGATTTTCCCGCAGTGGGGGGCGATGAGGGGGGACTGGGGGGCTTGGTCGTGTTGGCAACAAGGCTAAGATCTGTAGGTCCTACTACATCGAGACTAAACTTGCCCGAGCTTTCGTGAATGCGATGCGTAGACAAGTATTGGACTCGCGCGCGGCACCGCCTCCTGGACGGGATCTTCCGATTGCCCACGAAAGGCTGCATGTCGTGAGGGGGTAGTACCGTGTTGAGTCGGTGAAAACCGTCGTATAGCGCCAGCGCCGTCGGTAGCTGGTTCAGAACGAGGTACCGCGGCGTGAAGATGACGCATTTAGTGCGATAAAACTGTTCCGGTCCAGGGACGATCTTCACGCCGAGGTCGAGCACGTGCGATGGATTTTTCAGCTAACAAAAACGCCAAGTTCTGACATGTCCACTATCATGTTGTGGAGGAGGAGGGTCGGATCGAGTTATTAAAATAATTAATTAATAATATTATTAAAATAATTAATTAATAATATTATTATTAATTCAATATTTTTTCAAAATCAAATATACGATAAACTGCAATTACCAACAAATAGATGTATATATATATATACGCAACGTTCGTCAACTAGAACAAACTAGTACTAGTACCTCTACTGCTTGGTCCACGCCCAACACTTCGAGCGACATGCCTTTGGACCAAGTATACTTGGGACACTATGCATCGTTATATATGAGACTAGATTGCATGTTTGTTAAACCATGCCTTGATACACAAACTGTTGGTAAAAGCAGCGGTCACCGTATCCTCAAAGCCCACAGTGTTGCCGCCCCCTCCAAACGAAAACATTGTGGCGAAGCGACCCAGCCGTCTCGCCGCGCACGTCGGCGCCGCGCAGTAGCACACGTCGTGGCTATCGGTTGCAAACGAGCACCGACCGTCCATGCAAAACGGTGACGTGGCACTCGGAGGGGGCTTCTCTTTGTCGGCTGTAGGCGGCTGCAGGTACGCCTGGAGCTCCAACTCGGCCGCGAGGGCCATCCACATGGACTTTTGTTTGTTGTGGTCGTCGTCGTCGATTGCGTGTCGTCGAGCTAGGGCGGCGGCGCTGCCGGCGACTTCGAAATGGCGCGTGTCCTGCTTGTACTGAAGTGCAAACGGAGTCAAATTCACGAGCCAATAGGCGGCGTACAGCACCACGCCACGCTGGCCCCCACAACCGACCGAGTTTTCGACTCTACCACCATCTTACAGTCATATATTCTTTTCGGGAACAAGTCCACCCATGAGCTATTCAAGCTCGTACAAACAGTCAGCGCGATATTTGAACTGGACGTACTTGAGTTTCAATGGCTGTGTGTTGTTGGTTTTATCTGCAAACGCAATCACACTGTCCACCTATTAGGATGGGTTGGTTTCAATAGTGTGTGGGCCAACGACCGTCAATGTGTGCGTGATGCCTTTGAAAGCATGGTTGCTTAATATATATAGCATGCGACAAAGTGCAAAGTGGGATGCATATCACAAGTGCCAAGTGAGATTTCTAGTTGGCTACCTTGATTTTGCTCCCCGACGGCACGTGCAGCAGAGCTGGTTTGACTGTTTCACACTGCAGTGCTGGCAATAAGACGCTGCAATACAAGTTGTCGGCCAAGTTGGACGCATAGATCGAAGCGAGGCCACCGGCTTTGATCGTGCCTTCCCATACCACGTCGCGAACCCCCGACAGATGGCGAAACACACAGCACACAATGTTGACACAGAGCAGATTCTGCAGCGTCAAGGGCGGGTGCAGCGTCAGAGTCGTCAGCTGCGACGCGTCTAATAAGGCAGGTCCTTGTTTCACGTCGTCAATGTGGGGACTCGAAAATGTCGGGCGAAACAGCCGGCTCCAGCGCCCTTTCTTCGTGGCATGGCCAAAGCTCGACGTGACTTGCACACACAAATACGTGTTGGGCTGGCAGGTATGTATAAAGTTGCGGTGGGCGTCCGAGCTCGCGGGGCGTATCTACATGGAGAAGCCAAAACAATATATATATTAGATTCGGTTGTACATGTCAAAAACGACTGCCATAGGTCATAAATAATACACAACAGATATAAAGGGGGATAATGTGAAGTTACCAAGTCCAAGAGGTGGATTCCATCCATGGAAGTCGACGACGGCAGCGACACGTTCAGAAATCCGACGTGTTTACCGCGGGACTTGGCAGCATGTTCATACAACGGCTGCAGGGGTACATGATGAATCTCTCCGGGGGGGAGCTGAATCGTCGCACTGGAGGCATTGGAGGGGGCTTTGGCGTCTTGGCGTAGCTTGGGCGTGGCATGCAGGGCAATTGAGAGGGCGAACGACGTGAGGTTTTTGACTTGAAACAGGCTTTGCAGCGTGACACAGTGTCCCCAACGCGTCTACAACGCAATACAAACAGGGTATCATCGATGCTGTGTCAAGACGACGGAAAATAATACGAAAGGGGGGGTATAAAGAGCATGTTCACATCGCCAGGTAGTACTACTTCGTATATGCAGTGTACACACCTTGTCCACATGAACCAAGCAGCGAAGCGCAGCGCGAACGGCAGCTGTGGGCTCCAGCAAATGGGAGAGGGGGACCGCAGCAGAACTTTCGTTCATAGGAGTGCGTGCAGCGTCGCTTGGAAGTGCTCGCTGGCCGCCCCGAGGCGACGACGACAGCGCCAGAGGCGGTGAGGTCATGGTGACGTGTGGAATTTCCGGCACCAAGTCAAAAAAGAAGTACCCGCTTTGGTTCAAATCCAAGTGGTGGAGCCATTGAAACCCAAACAGCTGGACAGACATGTCGTATGTTAATTCGGCTGTCGCGTCTCCACACAACGCGAGGCGGAACGCGTCCGTGTGGTGGGAATGCTGGTGGACAGACGCAAAGAGCACGTCCAGGTCGTTTTGGTTGAGCACTGTCGTCTCAACTTTGTGGCGGCCGACGAGGACGCTTAGAATGGGGGGACACGCGAGGGCAGTGGGGGTTCCATCGGCTTTTGAGCCCCCCCGCGCGGGATTGAGAGGAGGATGCCTCACGTACGTGACCATGAGGGGGCGGTGGGGGGTGGGGGCTCCATCTGCTGGATCGGCCGACGCGGGAAGGGGGAGGTCATAAGGATGGGGGAGAGGCTGAGGCTGAAAGTACCGTACGGATTTGCCCGTCCAGTTGACCAGTCCGACACTAGCCCTCGGTTGGGGCCCCCAAGATTCCAGCACGGCATTCACAAAGGATTCTGTGATGTTGATTTGCACCGAGTCAGGGGTTGTGATAGACACCCCGATGCGACTGCCGTTGTGTTCAAACAGAACTTTGACGTGAAACGGTTCCACGAGGGGCTCCCACGCCCTCACGATGTTGTTGAACACGTCGACTTGGGCGGACGACGAGAGTTTGGCAAACACTGCCAAGGTCGACGCGATCGCGAGAGAACTTGGATCGTTGTCGATGTCTCCTTCGTGAGTTTGCGGGTCGTTGGCATGATGATACGAATCGCCGTCTTTTAGGGTATCGACGTCGTCGTGGCATTGCAGGACATGCAGACCCACCTCGCACAATACAAGTTGCAACACTGGTTTCTGAAAGAGCAGCATGTCGTCCAGTAACACGATGCCCACTTTGCGAGGCAAGTGCACACTCCAGCTTGTCCACGCCTCCTGACAGGACGCACCAGCCGTCTCGTCTTCGTCGTCCCCCACTTGCTCACCGTCGATTTCGATGTCGTCTGGGCTTCCATCCGGGGTGGACGCGGGAGGGGCGGGGGCGGACGGTGACGAGTCGCCCAAGCTCGTCTCGTACGCCGCCACTAGCGCCGCAAAGAACGCAATGTCGCTCGGGACGCAGTATACAAACACCGTCAAGTCGTCTTCGTGTGGGAACGCCACGTCATACCGGGTAACGTTGAATGTGCTGGACTGCTGCCACGTCAGCATGTTAAACGCATACGTCGAGTCGATGGTCACGGGTGTGAGCACTGTCCTTGGCGTGCCCGTCGTCGCGGGTTTCGAGGTCGACAGCAACGAGGGGGCTGTTGTTGTTTTATTTGAGTCGATAAAGTGCGCTTCCACGCCTGGCAAATGCACCCATAACGACGCGTCCGTGGCAGTCCACTCGTAAAAGAGTTGCCACCCGAACCCCTAGACAAAAGACAAACGAATTAATCATATGGACAACTTCGTAATTGAATTCGATATGATCGAGCAACATGTATATAGATCGCACCGCTGAGCTGCCCGCGGACTGGATTTGAAACACGCGGTCGTTGGCGGTCAGCACGAGGCAAGGTGTGTGGACCACAATCACCTCGGAGTACACTAGCTCGAGAAGCAGCATTTCCTTGGCTACGCCCGCGTCGTCGTCGTCGTCGACACCATCGACCAGCCCATACTCACCTGACACTCCGACGTGGGGCGCGATGGCGTCAGGGAGGGGCCAAGGGTATCCATACTCCGAGTCGTAAAAGTATGTTGAAAAGAACTCGACAACGAATGCCAGTACATCGGGGTCACTGAACAGCCCCACCGTCAACTGGTCCAACCTCAGGCCCATCATGGTGTACCCATAGGGAAACCGCACCATGCTGAACTGCATCCCAAACGCCGGCGTCTTCACCCCCCTGTCGAACGGATCGAATACGTTGATATTGTCGTGGACGAATGGGCGTCGATCGCCCGGTCCAAGGTCCGCCAGCACGGCGGGGGGGACGCCGGGGGCTCCCCTCTTGACCAGCGAAGCCCGATCGGTCACCACCGCGCATCGCATGAACGTGCTATCCACGCACCCGTACACCTTGACAACAACTGGTCGCAATTGCATCGCCAGGAATTCGTGGTCGTGGAGTGGCAGCCGGATCTCCATAGCATGCAGGACGAACCCAACTTCCCAGTGTGGACTGGTTAACAGATCGGCCGGTACCTGTGACGGCGACGTGAACGGGGCAAAGTGGGGGTGAGGGCCGGCCGTGTACGCGTCGCAGTAGTTGGTCGGTGGTTCGAATGGCGAGGGGAATTGGGGGTACTCGCCCATGTTATCGTACCACAAGCTGAGGAGGATGCTCAGTTCCGTGAGCTCGAGATTCAACCTCAACGATGGCTGGATCACAAACAAATCGCGCGTTTGCATGATGGAACATTCGTCCAAGCCAAAGTCTCGAACAAACGTAAAGTCGAATGGCGCGACAGTGACTCGTTTCCACGCTATGTTGGGGTCTAAATACATGGGTCCCCCTTCGATTATTGAGGCCAAAGGGGGCGGTAGGGGGGGTAGTAGCGACTCCATATTCGTTGGGGGGGAGTGAGGGGGGACCTCGGGGGAGTGGGTGCCGCGGCGGAACGACCAGTGCCGTTGGACCACGCTCTCCGTGTCGGCGCAATAGAGACTCACTTGTGTCATTGCCAAGCAGTTTTTCTGGCGGTCGCCGTCGGTGGGTAATGGTTGGTCGATGTTATCCACAGACAAAGTTGCTTCAGTAGTAGTACCCATGGCTTGGTCGTACGTCCACGTGTCCGTCCCAAATGACTTGGTAAACACACATTCGTTCATGACCATGGCCAGCATATCAATGGATGTCCCGTTGCGCGGGAAACAGAACGCCACGTGATCAAACACAACACGAATAGACGATCGTTCAACGTTGTCGTACGTTCGTGAAAACGTACGGCGGTAGTGCGTCGTTACCAGCTCCACGCCGCCACTCGGATGGTACATGTAGTTCCAAAGTTCAATGTACAGTCGCCACAAACACGTGACCTGCAGCCCGTGGAGGGTCCATGTTGGCTGCTGCTTTGATATGTCGTTTCCAGTTTGGTTCTTTGGATGGTTGGTAAACGAAATGACGTGGCATCCTGTTGACAAGTCTGACGTGCTTGTGTCGCGACGGCAACAAGTGCACTACAACCAACCACACGAATTATTGGTATTGTAAGCCATCTTGGTATTATTATTCTTTTCGAATGCATTTGAAGGATAAATGTACAGATTTAAATGATACCTGCGTGGGCACGACCACGTCGCGATGCAAAGCGACCCCGGTGTCGGTCAGGTCTTGCAGGTACATGCGATACACCGTCAAATCCACAAATGTAGACGACGACAAACATGGAGAAGTAGACGCCTGTAGCATCTTTGCTTGAACTGCCATGTTGTAAAAGTGGTATTTTACAAACGGCTTCTTATGTTGGCACAACAAGACGGTTACGAGATCCATTTGCCAATCCAGGGTCAACCTCCACGGCAGGGATGGTGGGGCTGTGGTGGGGGGATGCGGCGCTTGCAGTTGCGGCGTTCCTTCCGATGGAGTGCGGTTGGATATCGAAGTAAATGGCAGAGAAGACGTATTTCGCCTTAGCAAGTCGACGTACGTTTTGGCGTGTGTGATTCCCTGGCAAAGCGCTTCGGGGGGGTATACGATATCCAATACCCCGCAGATCGTGTGTACCGAAAACGCACTGTCTAGACTTGCGCTCTGTCGAAGAAGTAGGGTTACCCCCTGGGGGGTGGTGGGGGTAGGGGCAATCTGCACGACTGTGGTTTGGTCGATGGACAAAAACACTTGGGAAACGGCCGCCCGTGCATGCTGTACTGCCTGGTGTTGCCATAGGCCTTCCATAGTCGCTTGATTCAGCGTGGCAAGGGCGAAGGCGGTGGGGGGGTTGTTGCTGGCAACTCCAGCAACGACTCCAGAAATTTTTTCGGTGGGGGGCAAGATCCACACTTCCACAAGGGAGCATCGCATGGTCGCGGCGACGATGCACCCGTCACCCCATGATGACAGACGTGGTGAAACAGATTCTGGAGACACGGCAGGAACCGACAGGACGAACGCAGCAAAGCGCAACGCCACGTGAATCAGTTGCAGAGACACGTGAAGTTTGATCGAAGCAACGTCGACCTGCATGCTCTTGGACTCGGCGGCGTCTGTCGCACATAGGGCAAATGCCTCGACTCCAGCAATCGGCATGTGATGGGTCGTTTGGTTTTGTGTGGTCGCCAGTGCGAACGAGGACGTGCGGAGTTGGTACAGATGGTGGGGATGCAGTTTCACGTACAAATCGGTGGACGTGGCGATGATGGCCCATGTGTCGTCCAGTTGCAACTGCATCGTTGTATTCTATTGTATCCACAGTTTGTGGTCAATAAATGTACACGTGATTGCGTATTGCCGTACTTGTATGCTGCACGAGACCAACCGATTGGATAACTGGGTATTGGTGCTGCGGACTTTGCATGCAGAGGAAATGAGCAAGATGAAGTTGTGGTGGGGCTGAGGCCACAGCTCGGCCCATGGCAGTACCACATTGCACTCGATATGAACCGAGCTTAATGCAATATCCATTGCCGATGTTTCGTCTGTGGAACAGTCCTCACTACAACCTCGACGCCATTGCACTGATATCCCCGTGGTTGGTGTCATATTGTTGTCACCTGTTGTTCATAGTTATGTATGGTCATCGCATACTGAGTATAATATACCATGATAAGGTTACACTTTCTAATGAATGCGTGATGTGGTTTCAGAGTTGCGCTTTGAAAGGATACTGATTACGTACCGTCTGTGAGGGGTTGGGGTTGGTGGAGACGAAACACACACGTGCTGTCGCGCTGCCACGTCACGTCGATCGAGTCGATTTCAACACGGTGGTGGACCAATTCATTGCTCGAGTCGACGAGAAATTGACCATGCAGTTGCTGTAACGCAATGGATCCATCGAACGGACATGTGGCCACTGCCAACGTCATGCCCGCGACATCCCAAGTGCCCTACACTCCCGTGGATGATGGTCGTGTCCTGGTTGGAAATACATACATTCAATGTGCCCCATCGCAGCACGAAGGGTTGGTGGGACTGTTTTGGTGACGTTATCATCCGAACGGGTCGACCCTTGCCTTTGGTAGAGGTGGCGAGCCCTGTGGCTTCAACTTGGGCCTCCAAAATGTCTTGGACCCCCTACCATCACGTGAGTCGAGACAAATGACAAAAGGGGCGTGTGTGTACGAGCTGCAATTCGAGCCAGTTAAGCTGGTGCATAAACGCGACAGACGACTGAGACGAGTCCAGCCATTTTGTGTACAGTGTCGTGTAGCAACCTTTCACGACCGACGATGCCGAAGCGTCGGAGCTATGGAAGAGGGCCTGCTTGGCATATCGCCACGGATTGCGGGGGGTGCGTCCATACAGAGCCAGCCATCGAAGGCACTTCAACCTACGTCGAGTACATAATGATACGGGGGGATGCTTCACAGGGAGGGGAAGAGAGCATACTTGCGACCACTGGCAAACATAGCACAAGTTTGCGACATTTTCTCTAAGTATGGGGCCAGGGCGAGTGGGATGCGCATGTCAATAAAAGTTGCTCGCGCAGTGAGTGCACACTGCATCGAGTCATCCGTGGCCTCTTCCTGTGTGAGTCGTACGTGGAGCTGGAAGGGCGCCAGAAGCTCCAGCGATGCGTCGCCCACGGTGGCATACATACCCAAGTCTGTTATGTCGAGGACTTTCGCAGTGGTTTTGGTGACGTTATCGGTGGTGTTGGTCACGTCGTCGCAAAAGGTCAAGGACTGGAGGGTCACGCCCACGGTGGTCTGGGCCATGGCGTGGTACACGTTTACGTCATCAAGGTGAACGGCAATGTTTCGGACAAGTCGGTGGAGAATGGACCCAGAGAGACCTGAAAAGAGGGACCACCCCTCGGACGACTTGGCGATGGACGCGCGCGCGTTTGCGAGCAAGCATTGGACGAGCAGATTCTTTTGCTGCAGTTCGTCTAGAACATCATAAGTGCCGCGAAGGTGCAGCTCACAGTCAACGCCGGAAATGTCGACTTGGATCGGGTTTCTCCAAAACGATGTCCATGGCACCTTGGAGCATCCAGTTAGCCAAGTGCTCAATGCAGCGACCGTAGGGACGTACTTGAATGCGGATGCGCTGGATGCAACCATGGGCAATGTGAACGGCTGAGTCGTATGTGTTGAAGGCCGAGCATTTGAGCTCCTACCATGGGATTACGCATGTCAAGCAAGCAACTAGGGACAGTCTTACCACGTCTTCTAAGACCAAGTCTCCTGCCCAGAGCCCAACTTTGACCTGATCTTCTTTGAAGTGAGCGATGTACGCACTCAAGCTGCCTAAGATTGCCTTTGTGATGGCTTCTTGTAGGAACGACATGCTGCAGCGGCACACCGGCAAAGGCAATATTATCATGAAGGGACGCCAAAATTCAGCCAATCACAAGCCCCGATCAAACGGTTTCGTATGTCCTTTTTCACGTTATAGGTTTAAACCCTAGGTATTAAACGCATATTCAACGCTCTACCGTAATTAGTGTTGATTACTATGTAGTATTAGTACATTCCTCTATACAATCGATACGTATTAGTACCGCGAGGACTGAGTGGGCGCTCCACAGAATCTGATTTGATTGTTTTTGCATTGTGATGATGTGGTGGCTGCTTGTCAAAAGTCCGACAGTGTGGAATACGCAATGTACGTTCATTCATGTTACTCCGGGTAATATTAATAGTAAGTATTACCGTATACTTTTGCTGTTAGGTTATTTACAGTGTTAACCTGTAGTTTCAATATATAACCACATCTTAGATCGACGAAGCGTTAACGTTAAATGTAAACTCGGGTCGTCAGTTTCAATTGCCGACATGAGCGACAAGGTCGTGTATGAAGTGGCGGGGGTGTTAACTGATCCCAACTTCCAGCGCATGCGGCACCTCGCCCTGGACCTTCGGGACCAGGTGTCTTCAGTGTCCATCATCCTGCGCTCCATGGTGGAAGCCGACTTTGGTCCGTACTTGACCTCCCGGGGGCTCGCGCGGCGTTTCCCCAAACACCTCAAGACATCTCCCATTGCGTTTGTTCCCGTCTCGGACGATGAAAGCAGCAACAACGCCGGCGGCGACGGAGTCGGCACGTACATTGGCGATACGGAGGCGTTCCTGGACTTGTGCGCTCAAAAGTATGGCGTCACCGACCGCCTCACCAGTCGCGACTGCCTCCAGAAAGCTACCGAGGCGTGGGACAACTACCGCGCCCACTCGCGCAACTTGTTCTGCTTCCTCAAGTTCGCCACCGACGGCCAAGTGTACCACGACCGCGTGATCCTCGAGCTATTCGACGACATCTGCCCCAAAGCATGCGAGAACTTTGCCGCGCTGTGCCGCCCCGAGACCCAGAGCGGCTACGCTGGCCTTCCGATTCATCGCATTGTCCCGGGCGGGTGGATCCAGGGCGGCGACGTGGCCACGGGCGGGCGCGGCGATGGCGTCGGCGGCAGCATGCTCCATGAAGACGGGGTGTTTGAAGACGAAGCATTTTCGGTCTCCCACGACAAGCCCGGCATTTTGGTTTGGTTTAGTGATGACATCGCTTTTTTAATTTTTATAATGATACTAGTCGATGGCCAACAACGGACCCCATACGAATGGAGCGCAATTCTTCATCACCCTCGCCCCACTCCCTTGGCTCGACAAGTCCAAAGGTACGAGAAGTCCCACAAATTGATTGGAATATATATATTATGTGGTATATTGTGTGGCATGGATATATATAGTGAAACATATATATTGTGTGGTATGGATATATATAGTGAAACATATATATTGTGTGGTATGGATATATACTGTATAGTGAAACAATTATATTCTGTGGTGTTGATATGTATTATGTATAAGTATATACCGGTAGTGAAACATATAAAATTATGTGGATATATATTGTGTATGAATAGTGGAACATACTACAGGTATATATGGGTGTGTATGGAAACAATACATATATATAGCAAATTCTATGCGTTGGGAATATATATGAACATTGCGTACTTGACAAGTCTCAATAGTCCGAGTAAAATGTAGCTGTACCTACCGTAGTATATATCGATACTTGGACTACATATCTATTATATATATCGTGTGTGCGTATGTATGGATGGTAGTGGCGTTTGGACGGGTGGTGAGTGGCATGAAAACGATCGACGCCATCGGAAAGCTCCCGACTTTGTTTGAACGTCCGACGCTGACGTGCAGCATCGCCGCCTGTGGCCAGCTGTAGACTCCAGCGCTACAGCACTAAAGTGGAGGGACGAACCAGTCGCCGTGGCTTGCTCGAGTTGCTCGGCTACTCGGACGAGTCGTTCGTCGCTTGATCTACATGTTCCATCCAAAATTCAATCACATAAAAGAAAGAATGGTCTTCAAACTATATAATATTGTTGTAAACTGGAGTGATTTGGATAATGAATCGACACAACCAAATGTGCAGAAGAATTGAGCCAATCAGATTGCAGGAAATCATCATAAACGTCGAATTACTATGATACCAATCTCCACAGGACACCTTATAAAAATAATTGACCCATAATATCATCTATAATATATAGATATTCTTTTTGAAAATAATTCAAAAATATTAATGATATATATATTTTATTGTATTATTTTCGAGAATATTGAATAATAGATAAGCTTTATTATGTTTAAACCATTCCATTCTAACACATTTAATACATTTAATTCTCCTTCTAAAACATATCTACCTGCTAATTGCCCCTCGAAGAGTGAACCTACACGACTTATAGATTGTTCTGCATGGCGCTGCAGAAAGAACTATAAGCCTACTTAGGGTCTGGTTGAAGTAAAGGATCACCCACTTTTCCAGCACTCACTTTTCCTCGTTAACTATGTGGGCACTCACTTATATAAAAAGTTCATGAAATACCAACTTTTTGAAAAAGTGGGTGGTTTGACTTGAATTTGTGCAGGAATAAATTATCAACAAGTTATTAATAATGAGATGAAAAGTTGGCCCATATTATGGATACCGGATAGCAACTTGAGTGTCAGTATCCCCGAACCAGTCTTCCGCCGAAGCACAATGGAGGCCGGGGATATCTAAGCGTTCGCAACTACATTTGTAGCAGTAGCTTGTGTGGTTGCCGTTGTCGGACACGATGGCGATCAAACAAGGAGCCACAGATGAATGTTTACTCCATTCGAAACAACGACTGGCAAGGTATTTCTGCCCTACAGTACTATGCCAACATCATTTCACAACTAAAACTGTTCTACGTCACATGAGTCGAACGAAGCCTGCCCTGGAGATGGGCGGTACAAGCGCAACTTGCGCGTCAGCAGGTGCACATTTGACTAAATTCGCTTTGGATGCCCTTGGCTTCTTCGCTGTCGGGCTGTCTTTGGCAGCCACTTCTAGTTGCCCAAGCTCCGTCATTATGACTGATTGGCCATGAAACACCGCTACTACCCGGGCACATTTTACACTGACCAGTTATTATTATTTTACCGGATTACTTCAACCAGCACCAACTTTTTTTTACCCAAAAAGTAGTCGAAAAAAAATCAGGTGGATTTTACTTCAACCATACCCTTAGAGGTCGGCTCATGGTCTCATGATCGGTAAGGCCGGTAGTCTCCATTATGTGCAGCAGGCCGCCTTTCGCGTGCCATTGTCGTGCGGTTGAAAGATGTGCATTGTTGGCGCATTTTCGTTGGACGAAACGATTAGACTTAAAATAGACAAGAAAAAGTAATTCGTAGTATGAGACCTCAGTTTGCAATTTAATTCGGCCTCCGCAAGAGATTCCCGTCCGGATAACGACAAGAGCAAAACCAGAGATTTAATTAGCCTCATTGCCCATGTGTGACTCGGACCACAATACTGTAGGTAACGGATCGATTTTCTGAACGCTATCTAATTCCTGAACGGTTTCAAGATCTATCAATTATATTGCGGCATTCTGATCAGATAGTGTGTGATTGGCTATGATAATATAAATGCATGTAATAATATAGAATTGCACACAATGAACTTTGGTGTACATTTGTATAAATCATGTTCAGTAAAAATACCACGCAGTCTTGACCAGATGCTACCACAAAATGCTGATAGACCCTGGAAAGCCGCTAAGATGTACTACGGGGTTATTCGTTGGCCCATGACACGTGGTGTGGTTGGTATGGTGGTGGTGGGCGGGCTTGGGTGCCACGGCTGACATACCGTAGTCCTCGCCTTCGGCCTCAAAGAGTTGAACTGTCGATGAAATTTTAAATACACTTCGCTCTTTTATATTTTGGTGAAATTTAATTGCACTATTCAAATACAATCATGGATGACATTTCAAAATATTTATATTGCGTATTTTAATGCAGTTAATACTAAGCCCAACGTATCTCCAATCGTTCAGGAAATAGATCCACGCAGAAAGTCGTTTCTCTCCAACCCACAATATTTTTATTGCATACAAATCACAAATATCATCTGAAGCAGCCCATTTCAAGTTTAAAAAAACACTTCGTGAATTATATTTCCACACCGTACCCTTGGATTTTGAAAATTCTACTGCATTGCAGAGCAATAGCCCTTCAAAGTTTGGACCAAAAAAGACCCAAAAACAGTTCAGAAAATCGATCCGTTACCTTAACAGGATGGAGCAATCCCGATCCCGTGAAGCCGATGGCGGCCGTCCCTTGCGCCGTCAAGCCACTACTCTGTTCGCCTCATCGCGCCGGCGTAATCCACGAGCTGTTGTCCAGTGGTTTCATGAAGAAGCTACTCGAACACCCCATTTACGGAGCCCACACCGACCCCCGTGGCGGCCCCATTTGATTCTCCCACGCCAGCTACGACACCAACTGGCGCCACCAACCTGTCCCCGATGACGATGACATGGGACAAGGCGACGAGTGTGGATTCGTGTACAACGCGTCGGCACTCCAAGACCCAGACATTCATCCACCAGTACTACAAGTACCTGAGCCAAATGAACGCCTTCCAACTCAATGGCTCAAGAACCTTTATCATGCCTGTCAGCGCGTGCATGGACGTCTTTACCAAGAAGCGTGTGGCGATGTGGGACATGGCCAACCCCGTCTACCGTTCCGTATCAGTGACAGAGTGCACCGCACGGTTAAGCAAGGCATTTGAACAGGAGACTCAACACCTGGAAGTGCTCAAGAAGCGTGTGATCACAGCGATCCAGCTCGTCACGACCGACAATCCTGGACGTCGACTCGCGGATTAGCAAGATGCTTGACAACCTGATGCGAGCCCTGCAGCGCGACGACCAATAGTGGGCGCTGGACCAAGAAGACAACACAGTTGTCAACATCATGGTCATGGCGATCAAACGGCTTGGCCTGTAGAAGTCTGTCCAAAGCACGCTGGCCCTCCAACGCAACAAGCCGTTGAAGACCACCGTGTACTGTTTCGTTGACTCGCTACATACCGCCGGTTACCACCTGTATGCCCCAGGGGAAGGCGAGAAGACTTCGGCACCGCCTGTGACAGCCGCAGCATCATCACGGCCGTCCAAGCCTGGACGATGGGAAGGAAGCGTTAGCAGCAGTAGTGGACCCCAGCCCCTGAGCAAGACAGCGCGAAGTACGAGTGCAAGAATGCGACCTGCCTCAAGTGTGACAGCGACAACCACAAGGTGGTAAACTGCCCCAAGTGCGCACCTGGCGAATCCGAGCGCCTGCTCAAGGAGAAAATGGACAAGTGTGAGAGCGCGCGAAACAAGAAGGTAACAAAGCTTCAAGGCAGCGCGAACAAGTCCCTCGGCCGCGAAGCCAAGATCGAAGGCATCGTGTCCGTCACGATGACTCTCCTCGACACCGGCTCCGACATTATCTTGGTGATAGCCAGTGTCATGAAGTCCCTGGAGCGAGACAGCGTGGAAATCAAGGTGATTTCGCCGGAGCCATCCGTGATCCAGCCGTATGGCCAAGCACCTGCCCTCAAGGTCGGCCGCCAATTGCAGTTCAAGTTGGTCACCCTGGACACCCGTGTGGACCTTTGGCCCTGCGTGGACTCAAGACCTGGGTGGACTCTTCCTCCAACGCGGCAGATCTCCTGACTAGCCGGGCTGTTATGGAACGGCTGGGCTTCTCTGAAGACGAGTTGCCAAGCCACGCCTTTGCCAAGCAAGAAGTCTGGGATGTCAAGCGACATGGACAAGCCGTCTGCGATGGCAAGTGTCAGCCGCCTGACCCAAGTGGCCGCCTCGAGCGACGAGTGCGGTGATGACGGCATGCACTGTGCCACCCCCAACATCCAAGTCCCATCTGCTGAAGACGCAGAAGGCGAGCGAAACAGGCGGCGAGCGGTGGTTGCAGCGGTGCTTCAAGACAAGCTCCGTGCCACTGAAGGTGAAGGCTTGACCGCGGACTTCCTCCAAAAGCTGCGACTCCTCCTGGTCAAGCACTGCGATGTAGTCCGCCTGGAAATCGACCACGACGAGCCGATCGAGGTGGAGCCGCTGCGGGTACGAATCAAGCCTGACGCCGTCCCAGTCAATGTAACCTGCGATGATACCCTCCAGCGCATGTGGAGTTCCTGAAGACACATGTGCGCGAGATGGAAGCAGCTGGCATGGTGTACCGCAACAACCGCGCAACATGGGCCTCGGCGCTGCGCATCGTCCCCAAGAAAGACCCTGGCGACTTGCGCATGACCATCGACAGCCGGCCCATCAACGCGTGCACGGAGCCTATGCCATGGCCTATGCCGAACCTCGACGCCGTCTTGACTGTCTTGGTTGGCGCGCGGGCGTTTTTCACCCTCGACTGGTTCAAGGGTTACTGGCAGCTGGCGCTCCATAAAGACTCCCAAATGTACTACTCCTTCATGACCCCCTTTGGATTGTACACGCCCACAAGAGTGCTTTTGGGCCAGACTGACGTGATGGTGTTCTGACAGTCGGCGGTGGACTTCATGTTTGCTGACCTACTGTTCAAGGGACTCCTAGCCTGGCTCGACAACATCCTTGGCTACACCGAGACCCCTGAAGACTGCCTCGACCGCCTTGACGAAGTCCTCACGATATGTTCCTCCTTCGGCCTGAAGATCAACTCGAAGAAATGCGACTTCTTCCTGACCAAGGCCGTCTGGTGCGTCAAAGTCGTCTCAACCGAAGGCGTCCAGCACTTTTGTGTGGCGCGAGCGCCCACACTCCCCCAAAAGTATCCAAGGAAAGTGTGCGCTCGCACCGCCTGCCACGGCTGCCGACCTCCAACAGTTCGTGAGCGCGACCAACTGGATGCGGTCCAGCATCCCCTGCTACACCGAGCCGAGCTTATGGCGCCGCTCCGCCAACTCCTTGACGCAGCGACCAAGCAAATGGGAAGTGCGAAGAAGACGAAGCTCGCCCGCGTCCAGCTCACTGCCGTTGGCGGGGACGTTGGCCATCTGACCTGCTTCGACAAGGTCAAGGAAGCTCTGTTGGCGATGGTTCCCATGGCCCACCCACGTGCAGACATCATGGTCTGCTTTTACACCGACGCAAGTGAAGGCTTTTGGCCACTCAAGTACTATTTGAAGACCTGCCTGGCCCTGCCGTTGGAAGAGCAGCGCCACCAGCCGTTGGCCTTTCTCAGTGGCGCCTTTACTGGTGCAAGCAAGCGTTGGCCAATCGTGGAGAAGGAAACGTTTGCCGTTGTGGAAAGCTGCAAGCCACTGAACTGGATTCGCATCCGACCAGCTGGCTTCCGCTTTTTCACCGACCACAAGAACCTGCAGTACATATTCAATCCTGCCGGCCAGTCCCCAAGCATGGCAAGGTACCAAGCGCACAAGTTGGAGCGCTGGGCCTTGGTGCTGTCCTCGTTCCCTTACACCATCGAGTGCCTGCCCGGTGAAGACAATGTGTGGGGCGACCTGCTCAGCCGCTGGGGCGCCGCCCAAGTCCAAGTACCAACGAAGTCCGTCCGGCGCCTCCTGGACATGGTGGCGCCCTTGCAGCAGCCCGACTTCGACTGGCCCAGCCCTGCTGGTTTCGTCAAGACCCAACAAGTGGCCGTGAAGAGGGGAGAGATCCCGCCAACCGGCGTGGCGTGGAATGAAGGCAAGAAACCTGTTCCTCGACAAGGAAGACCGCATCTGGATCCCCCCAAGTGCCACGGACATCCAGCAGCAGGTCTGCATCATAACCAAGGCGCCTCGTGCCATTGACGGATCGAAGCCACGACCAAGGCCGTCCGATATGCCTTCGCCTGGAGCACCCTCGAAGCCGATGTCAAGACTTTGTCCATGCCTGAATCCACTGCCTCAGCGTCGACGGCTCAGTGGTCCCGCGCCCGCTTGGATCGGCGCTCTGATGCCGAGAAGCCCCACGAGGTGATAGATTTCGACTGGCTATCCATGCCCACGGTGACGAACGGGTGGCAGAAGATTTTCGTCATCAAGGACCACACGAGCATGTTCGTGCGACTTTGGCCCAGCGAGACAAGCGACGCCGCGGCGACCGCCAACGGCCTCATTAACTGATTCACGATCTTTGGGTATGTCCACACCTGGGTCTCCGACAGCGGCCCCCCCTTCAAGAACTTCACGACCGCCTGCTGTCCTTGGGCGAACAGAACCATTGAAGTAGTCAACCGACTGATCCTCCGCGCCTTGAAGACGCTTACCAGCGAGTTGAGGCTGCGCGCGACCGATTGGTACCTCGTCCTGGCCCTGGTACAAGGCGCCTTGAACTACATGCCAAGTGATCGACTTAGCGGCATGGCCCCGGTGACCGACTTTACTGGCCTGCCTGCGACGACACCCCTGTCATCGTTTGTCAACACCGTGACCAAGAAATTCGCAAACATCGACTGGCTCGACTCCACGCGCAAGAAGCACATGGACGAGCTGCATGAAGAGATGGTACATGTTGAATTGGAGTCGGGCCTTTGATTCCACCTTGTGCGACTTTTGCATTGAACAACCCAATGATTGTATTGAGTGCCCCGATGCGGTGTTGCTCGCGCAGGACATGCACTACCCACCCACTGCTGCGAACATTTGGCGCAATGTCGTGTACGAAGCTCAAGACGCGTTGGTCGGCGAGTGATCCGAAGCGCAAGACATCGTCGCGATAGGATGGTGCATTGGGATCCAACTCAAGACCATCGTGGAGGAACAGCTTCATGAAGCCAACGACCAACTTCGCCTCGGATTTTCTTCTTGCAGTCTGCGCCAACCTGCCACATGGGGGGGGTCTCGAGCATACTACTCGAACCACAAGTCTGCCAAGGACGTGGCGGCTGCCTTGTGGCGTTTCGATGGGACAGTGGCTTCGGTTTCGTGCGATGGCATGGCGATGGGAGGTGTTGGAGCGTCAGCAATACCGACGTAGGCTTCAACGGCAGCGACACGTAGGCCAAGTGCCTTGTTGATAGCAACTAGTTCGTGGATCACGGCTTGTTGCTGCGCAATGGTGACGTTCGCACGGGCGCCTAGCCCTTGGTGCCGTGTTTCGACCACGGCTTCGTGCGGGCGCTCAATGGATGCTACCCACGCCAAGAGATTTCCAACGGTGAAATCAGCGGTGTTTGCCGCTTGTGCAAGCCTCGCTACAGCAGGAGCGTGGGGACACGTCTGCATCAAGAACGGTAAGTGCCACAACAACCTCGTCATCAATATGTCTAGCACCGCCGGCTTGATCAACAAGTTGGGGTTTGCCAGCCCACCCAGTTTTGGAAGGCAACGGCTTGGACACGAGCGACAGCAAAGTGGCATGCCGGATCGAGGGGTGAAAGGTCAGGTACGACAACATTGCCGGTGGGAGTCCAGCCGCTCAACATCTTTGCAATCTTCCCGTCTTCGGCTGATGTGTTAAAAATATACGCGAAAGCCTTGTTTGTCGATGATACGTTCCACGCACCACGATCAAAGATCCATTGCGCACTCAAGCCGCTGTGACCATTGGCGTGATGGGCACCTCCGCGTTGAAAACTGTGTGACGTCAGTTCGTGCGTTAGCCCCGATGGTACGGCAATCCTCTTTATCCGTCGATTCACGTAGGAATGAACACCCGGATCGGCTGCGACATTCGCCGCTTGTGGCGCGTCTTCAGTTCACGACGTCAACACCACCAAAGGATTAAGCAGTGATGTTCTAGGTCCGATGGTGATCGCTTCGGCTGTGATAACTTGAAGAAGGTGTGACAACATGGCGACTGACGGGATAGCTTAAGTAGGGCTAATGCGATGGATAACAGCGGACACGTGTACAGGTTTTGGTCAGGATAGAGCGGAAGCCGCTTCTCCTCGAACGTCTTCATGCGCACGAAAGCAATCGTGACTACAGACCCCGAAGACATTGCAAGCTGTTGACGTTGGATAAGGCAAAGGCCTGAAGCACGGTCAAAGCAATGCCACAGCACAAATAGTATAGCAGCATCTTGATAATCCTTTGAACTGTGAGCGTTGTGTTACAGCCACTGAACAAGCACACACAAGGCTTGCTTCGTGCAAGCCTCGGCTTTCTTCACAACGCCACCATGCTCACGCTTCAAACAATTACGCTCAAGCGTGCGCGCCATCTTTTGCAGTCGTTCTTCGAGTGACACGCGTAGTGATGGATTTTTCTCCTGCAGCCAGTTCTTGTCCTGTCTGTAGTACTGTATTACTGTAGACTTTGTCAACTTACGGCCGCGACTGCCTTCGTTAAAGGCAAGGTGGATACCATACTTGTCCATTGCTGCCTCGAACACCGATGCCGTCGCATCCTGGGCAATGCGAGTCAATAGATACTCGAACGGGACGTTTTCGGAGGCCACCCACCGTTTAAACGCATTGAGTGAGTTGATGCGAGCCCTGGCAGTTGGCTATAATGAAATCATACAAATACTAAGTGAGATCGGAATATTGATCATATTCATCGGTAGAAATCTTTACAATCGAAAGTAAATTGGAGAGAATTTGCCCGTACTACAACGAGATGGACGCTCTGGAGAGACAAAACTTCAGTCCATCATATATTTTGGAGATTACACCATTTTGCGTTTAATTTTAACTTTTTTTCAAAATATTTCTACCAATCTCCGATATATTTCACCGAATCGCCAATATAATTCACCCAACCTCCATTAACCCGGACGTGTGGGGAGAGTCCAATACTTTAATCAAGTGTATTCTTAAGTATACTTGACTTTGCCAACCTGCGATTAGCAGGTTGGCAGAACAAATAATAAAATGAAAAATGCCAAAAGTCATTGTATTTGCTTCAACAAGTGAAGGATTCTGCGATTCGCAGGGTGGCACCAGCCAATCAGAAAAAGACGAATATTTCTTTTCCCGCAGAGAACTATAAAAATTTGTCAACGTCTGTAATGGAACAGATGGATGGTTCAGCCAATGAAAACAGTTATGTATTTCCTTAAGCAGTATGTAGAGTGCAACAGTCTCCCTTCTCGCTGATTGGCTCAAAGTTTGAATTTTAAATTTTGTGCAAGGAAGTTCTCTCACTTTCGAATTTGCCAGCAACCGATCAAGTGGTTCCGATCTGCCGCTTTGCGCCGTTGACGCCAAGGTATATGATGTGTGCAGTGTGTGTGATGTCTTATATATTCTACAGGTCCTTGTGAGCAGCCGCCGTCCCGACTCCTCCGCCGCCCAACTCCCCCGACGCGCGACTTCCCCGCCGTCCCGACCTCTGCCATCGCCGACTCCGTGTGCATTCGCGACCCATTGTTTGAAGTCGGCCGGAGGCTTTGCCCAAATCTTTGCCGCGATCCCGTTACCGCCGGCGCCGTCCCGACCTCTGCCGTCGCCGACTCCGTGTGCATTCGCGACCCATTGTTTGAAGTCGGCCGGAGGCTTTGCCCAAATCTTTGCCGCGATCCCGTTACCGCCGGCGATGTCCCGACCTCTGCCGTCGCCGACTCCATGTGCATTCGCGACCCATTGTTTGAAGTCAGCCGGAGGCTATGCCCAAATCTTTGACGATGCAGCCGTTGTGATCACGCAATCAAGTTGAAGGAGCGATG